TCACCTGCCTTAATTGTGGTGGCTTGCTCAGACATTTTGGGGGAAATTAAAAAAGGGTTCTGGAAAGTGTCCTGGCCAACATTTGTGAATATTTGTGTTCTAACATGCAGCTCTGCTGGACAGTTCCAGGAAAAAGTCCAGAATTCTGTTCATGTCTGCGAGCAGCTTCCATTGATCCGAGTTATCTCTTCATCCACAGTACTGTTTCCTGAACAGCTGCAGAATGACGGCTTCCAGCTACAGATTGCAATTTTAGGCAAAGCTGGATTTTAAAGGTGACTTTAAATTCTCAAACACAGATGTGAGCGTGATGATTTCAAGAACATCTCTTTATAATTGTATAACATCTGCCTCTCTGCCGTGCCCCTTCACATACAGTAGATAGTAATGAGAAGCGTGTGTGGAGCCAGTGCTGAGTCTAGATCTGTATCTCAATGAGAAAAGATGACTGTGTGAGTCTCTGGGACCAGTGCAGCTCAGCTTTGGTGGCTCACAGCCAGGCAGCAGATGGTCGGCCAGACTGCAGTCACATTAGAGGCAGGACGTTAGTGCCAGTGAGTGGAGGTGGCCCACTGACATCAGGACTAAGAAAATCACTGTTCTCAAAACTCATTTACACTGCAGACATCAGCAACCTGGCTCAGGCTCTGGTCTCAGCTCACTGTCATTGTTGGCAAACAGATGATCAGAGAACTGGACCGGCACAGAAAGAGGATTTAAACCACGCATCCTTCCTAAGAACTTCCTTCAATCACCTAAGTGTAAAGTCGGGAGTGTAGAGAGATTAAGAGACAATAAGTGCTGCAACGGCTTGAGCCAGCTACGGAACATTTGCAAACTGGATTAGGTAGAACTTACAGCCTGCTTCTGCTCTTCATCCTGTTAGCCAGCAGAGATGGAAGAACAGAGAGGAGAGAGCAGCATGAAAAGAATAAAAAACAGCATTAGCCTTTAGGATAAGTGTTGGGTTGAAAAGTTTGTCTGCCGATATCAGGTGGGAAAGTTGAAAATTGTTCAGTTGTGAGTAAAAGCCACATGTTATGTTTATATAAATCATAATTTCAAGTTTTTTTGGTGTCATTTCTGGACCAGGTGAATGTATGTTTGACTTATCCAAATGATGGAATTATTAATATGGACAAATGTCAAGAAAAATATGCAAAGGTATTAAAATAAAACTTCATAGAGTTTGTGGAGTGTAATATTAATTATTTGTTATTATTAAGGTGCATCTTGATGGAGCTGCTTTAAAGTAAAGTAATTGGCTCCGATAATATTATTCATTTCAATTCATCTGACCAGTTGATTGATACGGTGTCGATCAACTGGATGGACAGTGAAATTATTGGAGAACCGGTGCGCAACGTTTTTGCACGTGTTAAAATAAGTTACTAATTTTAATCTCTTGAATCTTTACAAATCAATTAAGATAATTGATAAGATAATTAAGATAATTAAACGTGTTTATTTCATAAGTACTTAATAATAATAAAATTATAATTTGAGTTAGAAAAAACACATTGTTTTATCAAATAATTCATTATTAGTCAAAGAAACCAATAATTAGAACTAGAAAGTTCTGGGAATGTTTATCAGAAGTCAAATCATTTACCCTGGTACCTCACTCGCGTCTTAAACCATATGCCTCCCACATGGAAATACTGGAGAAGGAATGTCTGCATTCACCATATGGAGCATATTTTAGGATTGTGTAATTCTCCACAGTTGTGATCTAATTTCATCAAAAGGCAGTGAACATTAACTGACATGACCCCGGTGGAACATGGAGGAATTACAGCAGCCACAGTGTGCCCTCAGAGTCACTGAGCGTTGTCTTCTCCAGCAAACAGATACGTCTCTGGGATCCAGGTGATGATCTCACCTTCAGCAGCCTCATCAGTCCCTCCAGCTGCACCATCAGCTCCCGCCTGCTCTCCTGCAGCGCTGACATACGTCTCTCCAGCTCGTCCTTCCGGTGTCTGCAGGTGAAGAGCAGATGTTCAGCGCTGCAGTCAGAATAAACATGCTAGAAGAAGTGAGGTCAATCTGTCGCTATTTTAAAGAACGGGGACGATCTGCAGAAACAGCAGAAAATGAAGGCCTTTGTCTCGTTCTCTGATTGGATTTTTTGGAGTCACTTATGTCTATGACCCACTGTGACCCTGTCCTGCCTTTGTTTAATGCAGAGCAATAAATGTGTTGATTTCAGTTTATTGAGGTTATATAAAAATAAATTCATTACAGTGACAAAACATGAACAGATGCAGCACAGGCTGCCCTGAATGTGTCAGCTCTACTAGTGGATACACGTGAAATGGCATTTTTAGGGTAAAATGGTGGATTATTTTACATAGTGTTTACCTACACTGCACAGTATGACTGATTTGTGCAGCGTTAATTTACTGCCGTTTAGAAAAAAAGCTGCTTTTTACAATAACATCTGCAGCGTACTACCGCCCTCTGTTGTTCAGGTGGTGCAAAGCCATAAAGAACCACCGCCGTTATAATCCATTATACTGTAAGTGGCACCAGAGCTGATCCACTGAGACCAACGGAAGTCCAAACCACAAAGACATAAACATTTCTATTTAAATTTGTTTTAGGTGAGAAATAATAATGGTGATATTTGTGTTTTCTAGTATCGCAAAAACAATTTATTCATTAAAACACCTCAAACAGTTATATTTTCCTACTAATCTATTATACACAGCAATTTACATTAGACACTACATCATATAAGTATTCTTTATAAGTAATGTGAGACTTTGAAATTAAAAAAGGTACACTACATCATATAAGTATTCTTTAATGTGAGACTTTGAAATTAAAAAAGGACTGGTGATATATGCATTCAAAAGTAATTTTAGGAGCATGTTAAATATGTTATGTAATAAGTTTAAGTCTGACGAACGTTTCATCACCATTTAGCTACTGTGTGACTATTTTTGTAAACTGTGCTGTGGATAAATGAAGATGTAATTTTATGTTAATGAAGACATTTGAATCATTTCAAGGCATTTACATCATATATTTAACAATCGTTTAACTTTACTATATAAATACCATATTTTTACAGTTGACCACTGAAGTGATACTAAATTATCAGTTTATAATCTGGAGCTAAAATGTGACTTTTTCAGACTATTTGTGTGTTTTGTGTTTGTTTCCATATACAGTATATTTGAAGTGTGCATTAAAAGTTCCCACTGTGGTTTAATTTAATTTTTTTATTTTCCAAGGTCATTCCTGACTGTACAGGAGGGTTAAGCCTATTATTAATGCTTTAATTATATGATGAAGAGTTTTGTCACAGCCGTTGACCCTAAACCCTGCTGCTGATTTATCACTGAAGGCAGACCAGACAAAACAGGGAGTCCTTCAGGTCAACAGTGTCTGCGGCACGTCTTTACGGAGCGGGTCTGTTCCTGGAACTAAAGCCCTGAGTCTCAGACTGCTGCCAACATGATAAATGTCACCGCTGCAAATTAAAAAGGAGAACACACACCTTCCTAAATTAGGAAGACATTATTCCTACGTGAAGAATGAGCTCAGCCTACATAAACACAACAGCAGCCCCTGCAGTGGCTGTGTTCTCTATTTTTACAGTGCAGCTTGCCTTTCCTGGTCTAACTGGTACCTGAGGAGCCGCAGTTCAGTCAGGAGGGTGGGGTTCTGCTGGGCTTTTTCAGGGGTGGGCTGCGAGGCCTGTTCGTGCTCCAGACGCAGCCTCTGGATCTCCTGCAGGATCTCCCTGGGCAGACCAGACACACCCATCAGTCTTCAGCAACAGTGTGACACATAAAACAAGTGATTTAATGGAGTTTCCCCAACGGCCAGGAAATGTTTGAATGGGATAATACCTGAGGGCCACATGGTCCTCCTGTGTGACCTGAGACTAGTTAATAAGTTAATCGTTAATACATTGAATGTATTATTGCATTTCATAATATTAATTCATCTGGAAAAAAGGTGCAAGTTAATGAACATACATAGGATGTATTATTGCATTTCATTATATTAATTCATCTGGAAAAAAGGTGCAAAAAGCCATCTTTTCTCATGTATTTACTCTGAGGTTACAAAAAAGTAGCTCCCAAAAGCTAAACTTTGATTGACAGCAAAGCTGTTTAAAAGGAAAGAAATTGGGCAATTGCCCCAAAGTCAACAGCTGGTTGACCAACACATACAGTAAATAACCAAGAACATACGTCAGAAAGGGCCTTCATTTCACCTGTTTTTGTTCTCCAGCTCTGCGATCAGCTGCCTCTGCTGCTTATTGGCGTCAAAGTTGAAGCTCAGATCTGTCGGAGGGCACTGTTGCTGAAATGAAAAATACAAAAACAATGACAATAAAAAAGAAACCACACTGTGTGACCAAACACTGGAAACCCCTGGCAGTTCCTCCTGACCAGAGCCAGCAGCCACACGGCTCTGCTGGAGACTGATTATACTTCTGCAGTCAACGGGCAGTCATTTCAGGTCACCACAGCTTTTCCATTATCCATCCACATCATGCAAAGTGGAAATCTAATTAAAGCCCAAACTCCAAGTTACCAAAACCACAGTTTCTGTCTCAGCTTTACTCAAATATTTATGGTTTCCAGGGTGAAATTCAATATTTCTTCTGAGTCTCACCTTTTTCATTTTTTCTGTGAAACCAACAGCTTCTTCTATTGTAAATTTCATTATTGGTTAGGAGTCCAAATTCAGCCTCAGTTACTGCCCACTGCTACAGCAGCCATTACTGGGAGTGGCAGATCCAGGCAGTGGAGTCTGATTCCCAACATGTGGACAATCCACAGAAAATCAATGCATGCGACATAAATACGTCTCTCCTTCGTTCTTCATTTTTGCAGAGTATCAGAGCTAAAAATAGCAAATGCTGATGCTAACTCCACATCGCCTTCCACGACTGCTTCTCACGAGGGACAAGCAATTGATAAAATGCTAGCTAATCTGTTTGGTGTTAGAAATATACAGGAAAGTGCTTTGAAAACCAATTTATTTGTCTGTGTTCTGCCATGAATATCACCGGTAAGGCGGAAAATATTTTTTTATTTTAAAAAGAAAGCTAATTCACATTGACTATAAGTTAATTTTCTATTTTGCTACATTTCGGAGTAGCTTCTGGTCAATTAGCATTTAGTTTTAGCTAAGTGGTTTTAAACGCTTCAGGCTACATTTAAGGCCGTCTCTCAGCTAGCATCAATCGCCTGGGGGTAAATTTTAATCTTCTTTGCCTAGCTTACACTAATTTGGATGTCATTTTGGCTATTAGCTCCAGGCTACATTTTGTCGAACTTTTTTTTTAGGAGGGGCTGCAGGGTCTTAGTGGTTTTGCATCGTTTAAAATAGCTCCATTGGTAATAACATCATATAAATGGAATGAAAAGAAGTTCTAATTTGACTTAAATAAGCTCTTTGTCTACGACCGATAACTTTCAGTTGGTTCGAGTTTTTGTTAAATCAAGAAATCAAGTTTTGTTTTAAACAAAACCAACATCTTCCATTGATGGAAAAAAAATAATTACACTGTAAAACATTTCAGACATTTTTTATAATTTCTTGTATTTTGTGTTAGATTTAGCAAACATTTGTTTCGGATGACTTCAGATAGCATCAAATTTATTAGCTCCTAAAGCTCCACCGTAGAGAAAGCCTGATTCCCAATTTCATCGTGTTTCCAAAAAGAAAATCAAGTAAGAAATACGCTACTTGAAATGAAGTTACCTCCTCTTTCTTCATTCCTCATTATAAATGAGTGGGTTTGACTTTGACTGTGGAGGAGTCGGCAGCCTTTGAGCCGCTGCAGCTCCGAGTGCATGAAGTGCATAACAATGACCAGTCAAGACTTTAACGTGAGATTGAGCCTGACCGGAGTCGACCACAGAGGGAACGTCTTCCGTGAGATACTCACTGTGGAGTTTCCCGCCTCTGCTGCCAGGCGAGCAGCATAACGAGCGATGAGGCGATGTTCTTCATCCAGTCGACTGGGACTCTCCAAGACACTGTCCAGAGTCGGAGACAGAACATTTCATCACACACACACAGAAGCACACACAGGGTTAGAAGTGGAAGAAGTCTCACTGCAGATTGAGCTCAACTGTTTTAGCAGAGTTTAAACTGGTTGTTTCTCATTAAGCTGTGTCAGAAAAGTGAAGATGAACTTTGTGTCCTTCCCTGATTAATCTTCTGTGGACTCTTCTCCTCCTGTTCAACGTCTCCTTAATCTGCCAGAGACAGACTGCTCCTTCTTGGACTACTTCAAAATGCCAGTTCCAAGGAACGACTTCTTGTAAAGCCACCGTATACTGAGCCGTGCTCTTATCTACAGTCTTCTGGAGCCTCCAGATGCTAAGCTAGGTCCTTCTTAACTTCCTGAAGGTCCTTAATTTCCCAAGGGGCACTCTCAAAGGAATAATAAAGTTCCATCTATCGATCTTTCAAAGCTAATAGACGTTGAAGGGTCTTTGCCAAGTTAGAAGACACTGAACTTCACTTGGGCTCTGATGCTGCCGGACGCTGCATCCTTGCCTGTCTTCTTCTGTAGCTATCAAATACTCAGCTAGGACACTGCTTCAGCTGCTCTAATCTGACAGATGTTGATCCAGAATTTTCCACGACTTTTAGTGAAGCTGCAAAGTGACAAGCTGGGTTTTTCTCAGGCTTCATTTGGACATCCTGAACTGGGTCCTTTATTGATTTCTTTTGAATCTGTGTGATGTTGGATCTAGAGGGACATTTTCTCAAGTTAAAGTGGACCCTAAATGTTGAGCCACACTGTCTACTGCCACCAGCTCATTGTCCATGTTCTGTAATGTCTCTAAACATTCTTCATTATATGTCACACGTAGTGTTTTACAAATACTTACCCCAATATTTCTAGTATTTTAATGTAACATGCACTCTCTATTTATTTTCTCATTATACTTAAATAGAAAGATACATGTCATCACAGCATCGTTAGAACAACAAATATAATATTCCACTAAGATACTCTACTGAGTATCCATGACATACTAATGAATACTACACCTTTGTTTGACAAAATGAAACATCAACTGAAACTTTATCACAGAGGTGACCTTAATATACAACTCTTGGCTTTGACTGTGGCGTTGACAGACAGTCAGAGATTATTGGTCATTACAAGGAACTTAGATGGATATGATAGAAAGTGAGGCGTAGACAGTGCAGCATGCCAAACGCATATGTGTGAGCGTGCCAGGGTCCAGTGCCGACGCTGGCCGCTTCAACACAGACTGGAAATGTCGAATACGGCACAAGACTCTAAATGATTACAAACTGAAGGGGGCCGGGGGGAGGATGGTGTGGGTTGAAGGAATGACGGAAACATATGCTACTCTTATGCGAGGCAGCCGTCTGCCTGAAATGAGAACCGACGGAGAGGAGAAACGATGGCGGACGGGTAATCCAACTCCAACTGGACAGCGGGCGACGATTAAGATCATTAAGTGCAATCTGACTTCGAGTGCATTCAACTGCATCAACAGCCGACAGTCTGTGCACGGATCAGTGCCTCGACCTGTGAAACCAGCCTCTAATTCCACATTTGTATTAAAATCTTATCTCTCTCAAAGCAAATGTGAGTAGATAATTAACATCTGCGGCTCCTCTCACCCCCCGCTCTATCTGGAATTTAAAAAGCTTTCCTGTTTGATGGAACCTATCTTAAATCCTCTGCAGATTACTTCACCTGTTTTAAGATAATATCACATAAAAAAATCTGCAACTGGAAAAGAAAAAAAAGAACCCCCTTCCACTCCTACTTAATGTCAAAAAATGACCCTTAAAAAGGAATCATTTGTTCGTTTGGCACACACAGAAAGCACCAGGACTACAGTTGGCTGAAGCTGTGACTCTACATTCAGTGTTTTGCGCTCGTCTACATCTGCAGGCTGAGAGTGTAGAAGCTGCCACTGACAGTTTCCCTGAGAAATACTGATGATTTGTACCATCTTCAACACAAGAGACGCAGGAAAAGCCAGACGAGCTCCTGAACCTTCTTTCCAGGGAGTTTTCATTTCAGAAACACAATATTTCACTGTTGGTGCTATTTTTATGAGAAGCAGATACGCCATCCTACTGGAGATAGAATTCAGATGACCCTTAAATGCTTAGAAATGAAGGTCAAAACTTCTGGAAGTAAAAGTGTTGGTGGTGTCATGTTTTAAGCCAAAGCACCAACAACGCCAGTGACTGAAGGACTTTAGAGTCAGTCCCACAGCCTGATCTGTTTCTTTCCAAAACAATTACATTTTTTGGCAGGAGTTAAGATGCTCTTACGGTAACAGAACTCTACATGGAATTTAGAAACAATGATGATTTTTTTTTTATTTGGATTTATGCCAAAGACCTGTCAGATGAGTTTGTAGCAGCCACGGATTTTGTCAGTAAGGTTTTAATGTTTCTGGAAACAATATGTGTTTAAAAAAATCTTTCCAGTAACGATTTTGTCAGTAAGGTTTTAAAGTTTCTGGAAACAAAATGTGTTTAAAAAAATCTTTCCAGTAACTTTGACGAATCATTCTAGACAGTGCTGCCTTCACTGTCCTAGAAAAAAGGGTTCTCCCATCGCATTTTTATTAGTACACATTACTACTGCTGTCACATTACTCCGTGGACTACTACTGTGCAACCCTAGATAAAAAGAGGAGTTGAAGGCAATTCTTCTTGTGCTTCTGTTTTACAAATAACAAGGATTGTTGTTTCTTTTAAAACAATTCTTATCTTCATCATGTTTACTAAAAAAAAACTTGGGACTTAACACGTGAATGTATAGGTTTTTTCGGAGTATATAAAGTGTACTTCGTTGATCTCTGGGTACTGCATGTGAGAGTTTTAATATTAATCTGAACTTTTAAAGTTTATCTTCTATGTTTCACTACAGTTCAAAAAAGTTTGTTAAAAACTCTTTGTTGGTTCTTCATTTTTGCTGATGCATTAATCTGGTCAAGGGCCTCAGGTAGTAAACATTTTAGGGGCTTCAACCATCTGACGTCTGACAATTAGTACCGTAATAAACAAACAGATCTATTAAATTCCTTTTAAAGTAATAAACACGTTCTTTACAACTGTGCAGCCATAATTTTAAGCTTCCCGTGGCCCAAAGTTGGACTGGTTCAATTTGCTAAATCTGTATCAGCACCGACACTTAGGCCATAAGTGACAAATGTGTATTAAATACAGCCTCTGTTCTTATTAAATCCTACTGTATGTCTTAGCTGCTGGTTAAATTCATGCAGTGGAGGTGAACTGCTGACTCAGTTTAACACAGAAGGAAAAAAGTCTTGCTCTCTCTGCCTCCTTAAGCTCAAGACAGCATTTTCTTTTCTTATTAAATTTTATCTTTGCTGCCGTGGCTCTGCATGACTAACAGGTAATAAATACCACAGTGTCGGTTCACCCTCGGAGGACCAACGACTGTCTGATAGAGACTAGACAAGTTGGGAGGGAACAAATGCCTCGTCAGCAGATAGTAGCAGGGAGACGACGGCGATGCAGGTCGGAAGCGTCGTACGGACAGTTCTTCTGTCTCGTCACTCATGTACACTTACAAATCTGCTCTGTCGTTTTTCGACCTCTTGTGAAAAGCAGAATTTGAAAGACTCAACAAAAACAAATGCTGCGACACAGGTGCTGCTTCTTTTTACTCTGAAACTTGTGAGCTGAGGCAGAGCGCGACACAGCTCTGTATAGAGCAGGAGGATCACCGTCGACTCACAGGCCCCCGGTGCAGGAAACACTGCCAGCTGATTCTAACAGGCTAATATTTACTACAGCCTTCAGTGGATTTAACAATCAGAGTTGAACAAATTCTACATGACAAGCTGAGGTGTTGAAAGATATTCATAGGCCTAACATGACATGCGCCCCCCGAGCACACACACCATGTTGTCACTTTTCATTCCAAGCTCGAACATCCATTCAAGCATGAAGGTAAATCAGCAAATGTTTAAAAACCACATTTCAGTACGTTTATGTCTGGAGTAATGAAGTAGTTAGAATGATCTCCAGCAAAGGATGTTCAAGTTTCCCTCTCTGACCACTAGAGGCATTGAAAAGGACTAGCAGTTTGCTGTTAGCAGGCAAGCTAAATAGTCATCTTAGGTGAAATGATGGCATTGTCTGCACTGGAAATCATGTAAAAAGTTCTAAAAAAGAAAAAAACCTTAGACACATTTGTTGTTTAATCTGGTGTTGGCAATAAATTTGCTGTTAGCAGGCAAACAGTGAAATATCAAAAGAAATCAGAAGAAGGTTCAGGTTTAAACAATGTAATTGACAATTTATTTTGGTATTTTGTTTAAATAAAAAAGTGCTACTATTAGCAAAATATGATTTTGTTGAAATGTTCAGTTTCAACTCAAGTCCTTCTGGGAGCAGGCAGTGTGTTTGTCCTGTGCAGACACAAAGGCATTAATTCATTGTATAACAGACATGGAATGGAATTTAGGTTTAGTAAAACCCAAACTATTGAGGGCTCTGAGTTGAATGGTTTCTCTGCTGAATGCCCTAAATGGCTGAACCCAATGTGGGGTAAGAATTGAACGCTGAACCTTCTCCAGGGCAGACAGAATCCACACCCCCTTAGAGAGGCACATATGGCTCAGCTGCGAGATGATGTTATAAATACTCCAGACAGTCTGACATACTCAAATCAGGTTTTGACCCTCAACTTGTCCCAAAACGCAGAAAACCGGATTCTGCTACGATTCATGGCTGCACATACTTTTTGTCCTGCCCTAAAAGTGGCTGCTTTGTAGTTAGTTGTGGCCCCTGGGGGACAACAACAGCCTCAGTGCATGACATCTTCCCAAAGCAGCTCTGGCACAGAGAGCAAAATGTCAAAGACAAAGGTTATCAGGCTTCTACATTACTGCAACAGTGAAGCAAAGCTCTGGAGAGCGTCGCTTTTCACTTGTACATCCTTCTACACGTGACGTCCTCCACTGCCTGCCTGTCCTCCAAAGGTCCTGATGAGAGGCATTGTTTACCGCCTCGGGTGTCCCTATCTCGTCAGCTTTCTTCAAACCTGCTCTAATCTTGATGCTGCCGGCCCTCAGAGGGACATGACCGCACTGCACAAGAGCCTCATCTCCGCTACGTCCTTTATCTAGTATTGATTATTAGCGTCTCGTTTTTTTTTTTGAATGCAGAGGAAATCTAGTGGGAGACGCTGAATGACTACACTTTCTTCCTAATGTAATTTCTTGATCCAAGGAGGAGGAAAATGCTGTGAAATCAACCATTTTCGCCACTATTTTATGATAATAATAATAAATGTAAAGGTTGTTTCCTTGTGAGTGTGATTTCTAGCTGTGTGGACGTTGTCCTTCAGCTGCCATTGTGCTGTATGATAACCCTGTGGAAAGAAGGCAGCCACTCTGGCTCTTCTTAAATTCCTTTGTCTGGATTTCCGACAGAGATTTTTTCTCATAATGACTAAACTGTGACATTTCTTTTGTTTTCTGTATGGTAGACAGTTATGTCTTGTCCCTTCTAATTTGTTGTGGGACATCTTCAGTCCCTGAACAGTCCCATCCCATCTCCAGGACTGATGCAACAGACAAACATACAGTACACAAAACATAATTTCACCCAGCACAGAGAAGAAAACTTAAAAAATCTGGAGCATCCTTAACGATTGAATTTATAATCCAAACGCTTCATTAGCACTGTAAGGAAAGTGACCTTTGGAAGGATGATAGGACAATTAAGCTGCTTACACTGGGGCACTGTCTGACATCTGCTAACATGATCCAACTCCACTTCTATCATCATCTATTTGTCAGATCAGCCTTTTTGTTAGGAGGGTTTGCTCGTAGACCTAAAATGACAGCAGAACAAATTCACCCCCAAAAATACACTCACAAGGTCAACACTGCACGGAGACGTATCAATGTGTGTCAAGTGTGAGAGGCTGGCATCAAGTCAAGGGATTTTTACCATCTGCAGTGTAATTTGTAGGAGCTGAAATAGTGATTACAGAAGGTAAAGGAAGGATTTTGTCCATTTTAAACACGTAGAGTAGTACTGTTCGTTCAAGGTCACCAAGTACTCTCAGAATTAAAACGGAACGTTCACTTGAACATAGGTTGAGACCTTGTATGGTGTGGGAACGCAGCCCAAAACTAAAATCAACCCCAAATGCTTTTTTACATACTCAGCATATAATCACAAACACACTGTAACATGATTCAGCTTTTACAGTAAGATCCTACTGTGACTAACAAACTCATAATGACACAGTATCGTGTATAGCTGGTATCGTAGAGCGCTGTGTAGACCTAAGCCATAAGATAATATTAGGTGTTCTTCTGCACCAGTGTCGGAAGTTAAAGTTTATCCACACGTGGCCTTTACATTAAAAACTGTAAAATGTCCAAATGTCCTTTAAAAGGACAATTAATAAAATAAATAAACAACACACGTTCTTTAAGGCTGATGGGAGCTGTCCCTCAGCACCACTGTGTTCAACCCTGCTTAACAAAACGTTGGGCTAGCATTTAGCCGATGTGCAGGACAAGTGTGAAGTTTGAACAGCAGATGGTGCCGGAGCCCAACGTCCATGTTTTCAGGTGAAAGGTTAAGAAAGAACCATCAGAAATCTGCTGGACTTTTTGAAGGTTCAACTAAATTCCTGAGAACTCAGTTTTTGCAAAGTCTATTTAGGTTCTCGTTCTTCCAGGTAATTTTATCTATGGAAATTTAAAGGTAGACAAATGGACTGGTGGTTCTCTGTTTACAACGTCCTTGACCAACGGTGTTTTGCCGTTAGATCGCCATTCCTAGTCGGAACGAGGCAATGAAGCACAACTCCACTTCTTCTGATGGCGTTGCCTGTCTTGTATGTAGGTTCCGACTTACGAAAAATATTTGAGTTACACTGTCGCTGGGAACCATACCCATACCTGTGTCTTGAAGACCTTTCACTGCTTCAAGATAACTGGAGAAGCCACTTGCAAGATGAATGATGAAATTTGAAAGATGCTCTTTCAAATTTCATCATTTGTCTTGTAGATAATACTTACAGATGTAGGTGTTCTCCGTTAACTCAAATCTGTGGAACAATCTGACAAAAGATATTATACCTAAGGGGTCTTGCTTACCTTTTGGTGGGTGTAGGAGCCCCAGAGGACATGACAATAGTGTCGTTCATGCTGTTGGCCACTGGTTTCGGCTGACTAAAAGACAAGATTAGAGGTCTTTAATTCTATGCTGCAGAGGGCAGGTGTGCTTATCACCAGGGGAGTGGAGGGCGTTTGCATTTTATTATTATTCAGAAATCAGAAATCTTGCCTTAAGTTTAATCTAAGTGCAATAAAGAGAGAGTCAAAAGGCAGGTCACGGAAATAATAAAAAGTCCAGAGCAAAACTCCAAATTGTTGTGAAAATAACCGACTTTTCCACCGTTGATGAAGACATTTTAAGGGGCTATTATCTCAAACCAAATTAACACGGGGGAAAGCGACGGTTGGCAGACAAAAATCTAATTAAACTGGAAGTCTATGAGAAAAACGAGGAGAGGTGACATTGTAAGGGAGGCAATTTGGGAAAGTAAACAAAGCTATGGGGGCCATCTGGCCGCTGGATCGCTTTGGCCCCTGACGAGCTCGGTCCAAAGCACCGGACCATGGAGTCTCATTAACAGATTTAAAATATCTTTCTCAGCTTTTTACAACCCCACTTCACACTGGGCGCAGTAAAGAGCAGCCACTCACGACGACGACACTCCATTTTCATGTCTCCCCATAGTTGCATCACCTCAGTCTGATAATGATCAGCCTTGGATCTGCACAAGTGGATCTGACTCTTCTATTCAAAGCTCTCATCATCACATGAAAGGCAAAAACACCACAGAATTGTTGCCCCTCATGCTTTAGTCCGGTCAGCTTCTATTTTTGTGGCCACATAAAACTATTTATATGCACACTGTCCACAAAATATTCAAAAGCAACAGAATATCTTATCAAAATTTTAAGTTTTATTGTATTTTTGCACCTTTGCTTGCATCTTTTAAAGCACATGCAGCGTGTCAGGGAACCCGTGATACATCAGGTCAAATAGAAACACATGAAACGTCCAAAATGTGAAGGTCAAAGTCCAAACTTTAACCTTCTGGGACGGTGTGCCGACTCAGAGAAATTCTTTAATCTTGTGCAAAAAAAAAGCAATCGCAACTAGAGATATAACTTTAAAAGCAGAGTGTGTTTCATTCAGTACCTAAATAAACAGTTTTTGCCAGTTATCCACTACTTATTTTTCAGTCTGATGCTGAACTTAAGGCAGAAAAATGTGACAGGAGTCTTCGCACTCACCTCTGTGCTGAGACAAAGTACCTGCCTGTCTGGCAAAATACATCCAACTGCTGCTGGTGCTGCTGCCAGATGCCGAACCTGACTTCAACTGAGCATCTCAATGTACTACACTGCTGCTGCTGCTGTCTCCAAGGAAACTCGATGATCACGTGACCCTATGACGGCGTAGTCTCTCTCTCTCTCTCTGTCTCTCTCTCTCTCATTGCCACACACTGCCTCCCTCTTTTAGTTTTCTCTAAACCAAACACTGGAAATTAGCAAAACGCTGTTTCACTTGCATACTCTAAAAAAAGCAGCCATTCAGAGGATATGTGCAATAAACCGACCTCTATTTATAGCTGCATTTACATACTGCATCTCTGCATCTTCACCCCTAACCACCATCCTCTCTCTCTTCTCCATCCTTTAACTTCACCCAGTCACGTAAGTCAAAGCTCTGAAGCGCATCCATCCTTCTATAAATAATCATCAGTCCCTGTCAAGAGCACTGCAGGATAAGGTAAAGAAGAATAGAAGCTTCTTCTCCTCTGAGCCTCTGACTTGTTCCCTGCCATTCCCCTCTTATACAGTACTTGGACAGATTCTAACAGCTCAGTGAGGGCAGACACACACACACACACACACACACACACGCTGCAAACAGAGGTCAGACCAGAGTGAAGTGACAAGACATTTAGGAAGTGTGAGATCAAAGTCTGCAATGCGCTATGAGCCTCGTTCTACCTGCGGCAAATGACACCGACCGTCTTTTTGTCCACTTGGCAGAGGTTCAGAAGAAGAGCTTTGAAGAACATCTGGTGATCCTTAATCTACTTTGGTCCTCAGAGATGCCCATATGTGTTGAGTAAATGTAGCAAAAAACCAGAGTGAAGTAGCTAAAATGAATCCAAGTTTTTTATCACTAGGTTATGTAAGCCAAACACTGCCAAACACAGTCTATAGTAATGTAAATATGTTGAAACAGGTGCTGAAAAATAAGGCAAACTAAGCGATAGCAACGCTAGCGTTAAGGAAGCCATAATGAAGTTAACTGCATAAAAGTTCATAAAAAAATAGATATCGTATAAAATATAGTATATAGATAGAATGCCTCGATACGAGCAAAAAATGTTGGTTCACGAACAACCTTATGTCTTGTAAGAGTTAGCTAACAGAAGAGATAAAAGACAAATGACATCTTAGTATTAAGTTACCACAAGTTAAGTCAATGCACAGAATAATATGCTCAATTTGCAAAAAAACAAACAAACAACAAACAAAACTAATAGCTACAGCAGCTAGCCAGTAACTAAGGTAAAATCACATTCAAAGGATGTACGTGTAGGTTGACTTATCTAGGTCACTTTTATATCAGTCGATGGCAACTGGAATGTATTGGTTTCTTGATAACTAAAAGATAAGAGTCGTCCTAATCACAGATAACAACATAACTTCACAAAACTAGCACAATGACCTTGCCTTGACACGGCATTTGTTAACATTGCTGGAAACGCCCCTTAAGGCGGCCCTTAGATAGTTAGTTAGACAGTTAGTTAGATAGGTAGATAGATAGATAGGTAGATATAAAGTCTTCTAAAACTAAAAATATCACACGGGGATGAAGCAGAGGTGAGTTTTCTCTGCGGAAAAAATGTGTTTATAGCAACGGCTATAAAAAAACAAAACAAACAAAGTCTCTCACTAACAGAAAAGTGAATCAAGTGGATGCACTCTCCCATTACATAAGAGCCCTAATAAAATTTGCAATGACCGAAAAAATAAAATAAAATGGAAAACTGAAAAAAAGAGTTTGAAGCGATTAAAGGAGTCCTTGGTTCTGGAGAGCAAGGGGCAGAAAGCCAACAGGGACGTACGGCAAAATGTGCCTAAAATATCTAGACCTGCTTATGTAGGTTTAATGATGGAGGCCTTTAATGATCCACTGATGGTATGACAACCCAGACTGTTGTAATTCAAAATGACAAATTAGGTGACCTGCAGATGAAGTAAGATGTAGCAAAACATAAAAAAGATAAAAATATATAAAAAGCTGTCAGGTTGCATGTGATAAATTTGTGAAAAAAAAAGCTAAGAAGTAGCCAAGAATATACTGTAATGGAGTTGGTCTGAAAAGAAAGTTATCTACATTAGCTTAGAGTAAAGAGAAAATATCTTCACAAGCAAAAAAGTTTTTATAAAAATAGCTAAAGCAAAGCCAAAATATTTATAAATATTTACATTTTTTAAATAAATAATAGAGAGGGTGGAAATTTTACTGCTGTGGCAGCTTTATGTAAAACGTTAGGTGCAGAAAGACACTCATTTTGTCCCAGCAGCTTCTTACCATCAAACAGTCAAACTGAGGGAGCAGTGAAGTACAAGTATTCTCCAAGCAGTGTCACTTCCGCATGTCAGTAAATATTTAAAAAGCTGGTCAGAACAGGAGCACTTTGTCTGAGGACGACGTCAGAGGAGGAGCAGTGGGAATCTCACGTCTGTTCAGGGTAGGAGTTAGCATCACACCTAGCTAGTCTCTTCAATACTGACATCACTACACATTTCCCTTTAAGGTAATTTCACCAAGGTGTCCAACTTAGAACAATTAGACAAAGCTTTTAGTGAGAAACAGACATGGACAACTGCAGTCACTGGAGAATATGTTGTATATTTCTGAAAGGTCAAACAACTTCTGTAGACGCCAGTACTTTTTAGGGTCACACTAATAGAAAACGGTAAATGGGCCAGAAACACAAACAGTCTTTTCTGTGTCTGGTTCAAAGATGGAAATGGACAGACGTCCAAACCCATTTCTGAGCTCTCCAGGGTCAACAGTGACATCAGTGACATCCATTAGAGTCAGTCAGTGGACACACACACACACGCGGACACACACACCGTGACACTAGCCTTGAAACCCCATTTCTTGTCTCAGGAAAGAGTAGGAGAAAATACTGCAGTATGTCCATCCGTTATTTACATTTATATTTTGATACAAATACTAGTGTAACTCTGCTACTACTTATTCTCTTATGTCTAGTATAGCTTTAATCCTAATATTATTAAAAGATAGCAGAACGGCGCTGTATATTTTAAGAAAAATTGGTAAACACTAAATGTTCACCTTCTTGCTAAACATCGACATAATGCCGTAGTTTGGTACAACTTCTTTTTCAACCACTACTCATTCAACTACTTCCACTTGGACTCCTCCTAATGGTGTTTTTATTATCCCTCACTACTACTACTTGTATTTTTACTACCAGTAACATTATTTCTACTGCAACTTTACAACTCTTCCCACTTTTTCTTTTAAGACTTCTGATACTCCTACTTATAAATCTCGTCGTACTTCTATTAATCACTTCTGTTATTTTCCTAAACCCATAGTTATACTGCTAGTACTACTACCCTTACAGCTAAATGAACTGCTCCACTATTTCTTTCTATCCATTTCTACTTCTACAACTTCTGATGGATCAATAGTACTCTTACCTACACTACTATCATTACTCCTACAACCACTGCACTGTCTGTAACAAGTACTTCTGTTGCCATAACTTCTATTACTACTTCATCGGCTACTTCCACTTTTATAATGACTTTTACCATGTGTTTCTCATTACTGTAGTACAACTACTATTGTACTATTCTCTGTATTCAACTATTACCTCTACTATCGCTACAGCAACTTCTGATACTCTGATACTGATACATTCATACAGCAGTACATGTACTGCCACTACTTCCATTAATACTTTTACAACTTTTGTTCAACTTCTGCTAGTATTTCAACTACTGCTGTGCTATTTCTGCAGTCACATCACAACCACTTCTCATTCTAGTATTACTACTGCTAGTATTTGAATCCCATGCTCACAGGTACTTTATTTAGCTTAAGTTTAACTGAGAATACTTGGACAGGTGCTGGTTTCACTTTACCAAATATAGTTGAAAACCGCACTTTTCCGTTTGTGTATAACCCAACTTCAAAGGAAGAGAAGTACAACAGAGCTTTGTGCTCAAAAATCCAATGAAAGCAAATGAACAGAAGTCGATATTCTTTGTGCTGCTGCCAACGTCTGAAATACAATCAACAAAGAAGAGGAGAATAACAGAACAAAAAAATGACACGGATTACTGCTCCATCAGGACGGCGCACGGACCCCAGCCAGAACTGTTTCAGCCACAAATTTCATTTTAATCAATATTAATCTATTTGTGTGATGTCATTTCATGCGAGACAGACGGCAGCGTGCAGCTAATCCCATCAGCTCTCCTCTCAGCTGGAATAAAAAAATGTTCAGGTCAACAGACGGCTTTAAATACAGCAATAAATTCAAGATGCGCTGAAACCATGGCTGGAGCATTCGGTTGATTAACTGAAGACTAATTGATTAAAAATTAATTGAGAAGGCTGATGTGTTCAGGTGTGGTATTTTTATATAACTCTAATACCGTGATCATTATCTCATTGACTTCTAAAAGGTCAGAACAAGGAGTTTTTTCAAGGATGTCGACAGGAGCCAGTGTCTCATGGAGCCAACTGCAGTACTGCACCAAGAACTCCATTTCTTAGTACTGAAGTTCATGTAAGCTAATTTCAACCAATGAGGTTTGTCCAATATGCAGTATGGGGCCCTACCGTGGAACCAAAATTTGTTATATGCAGACAGAGAGTTTTTTTCAGGTTAACTAATAGTTTTAAGCAGCCCTCATACATTAACGGAACTTATTTTTTTAATTTATTTCAAGTACATTTAATTCTCCAGTATTTCCTTTTTATTTCTTTGTAAACTTCTACCTCTTTTGGGCCTAACTTTTGATTTCCTTTTTTAACTGTTTATTTCAGTGAAACAAAGTTAAGCAATAATTGCAAAATTAAGCAACATTGTTAACAGCTTTCTTCGTAGTTTGACAAAGTTAAGCAATAATACATTGTTAACAGCTTTCTTCGTAGTTTCCTAAAACTAATTTATATATTACCATACAAAAAAAGGTGTGAATGTGTTTGCGGCTCTCGGTGAATCTTATATGGTTGTGTGATGGTAAAAAATGCTCTCATGATGTTTAAGAGCCCTGAAGTAGTAACACTCAGCCCTGAGGTACTTTAACATGATTAAAACTGCCCCTCTTAAAATGAATTGGCCACTTGATCAAAAAAATCAAAGTATGGAATCAAGGTTGCAGCTCCAGTGACCAGAGCCTGGTGACGGAGCAGATTAGTCGCCACAACAACAAGGAAACCAGGATGATGTATTTACAGCGTGTCAGTTTCTCCTGGCGTTTACTAAGCCACTCTCCTCTCCGAAGTGTAGCTCACTATCAGTTACTCACTGACACTCGCCAGCAGCCACAGCAGTTCACACACAGACAGCTCAGATTGATGGCTGTGACTGGAATATGAAACAGGACGATGCTGTGAAGATCTGCCATGAGAAATGTTCAAAGCCATGATTACCTCGATTTTTCATATTGACCAAAATTAGCTTCTCTTTGACCACTTTATATAACATCTGAGTTGGCAATAATAAATTAAAATGTGCTGGAGAATACGTGCACATGTATCTGTATGTACTGTATAATGAGTTGATGCTGTAGATAAATGAAAGAAAACCACCCCTGCTGTTAACCTCGCTGCTGTATGTCACCATTACGAAGGAAAGCTGTCTAAATATTACTGGAATCCAGGTTGATGATTTTATAAATAATGCATCAGCATCACACTGTGTTATATATGAGATCAGAGCAGCCCTGAAAGGAGGGAAGTGAATCAGGGGAGCTTAGTCTCAAGGTCTACACCACAAATGGGCTCTTGAAAAACATCCTTGTGCAAAACTATTATCTCGCAAATGTCAAGTAAAAAACCTTGCAGAGAAATTTCTAAAATGTCAAAAGCTGAGAGAATGTGTGCGTGTACTGTACTTATATCAAAAGATTCATACAGAAGTCTCTTAATAATATAACTATAATAGCTAGAAGTTAGCCAAACAAATAGTTAACGTCACCAATGCTTGTTAATTTGAGTTAGAAAATTTAAGTAAGCAAAACAAAAGAAAAAGATAGAAGATGTCCTAAAATATGGCAACCACCAGCTAAAAACCTGTTGATGATATTCATACATACATTTATACTCTTTTTAATGTAGATCCTTCAATCAAAGTGTGTCTTGTTATTTAATAGTTTACTAGAGTTTCAATTCAACAGGGATGAGGAAAAATATCCATTGACCTCAGCTGTGACCTGCGGCTGATTCTCCCTGTGTATACTGTGGTATCGTTCTATTTTTCAGCATGTAATCCATATAAATGAATGCATGTGCGAAAGTGGGGAGTGGGGGGGGGTTGAAGGACGTAACAGAATGTAATGCACCACCCATAACGACATCAAACCCCTTCCTCCTTGAAGGGTGTGAGAGATTTATAACCTCGTCCCTGTTTCATTGCCAACAGACTGATGAGGACGACAGAGCTTTTAACCACCGCTGCATCTGAGCCCCGTGTCATATATCAGCATTTCTGCCACAGCTGATAATCGGGGGAGGCAGGGGGGATGACATCTTCGAGAGATGGCGCTCTATCAGTCACAAGTAGACGGGGGGATGCAGAAGACGGAGACAGTTACATGAGGAGAGCAGGCCATAGATCATGAATGAGGAGCTGGTCCATGTGTGTGTGTGTGTATGTGTGTGTGTCGGATTAACAACACACACATACACACCGGTGAAAAATGTCTCGGGAATGACGGCACTTACACAGTATGCGTGAGCTCCTGTGGCCGCTCCGCTTGCTCAGGGAAAACAGGATGTGGCGGTTCGCCGATGGGGACGCAGCCCAGGGATTTGCTGATGGCGTGGCTGAGCTTTTTGGCTGGAGATTTCTGTGAGGGGGAGCAAGGGGGAATAAAAGTGGTGTCACCTTGACTGTCAGAGCCACGGGAGCAGGACTGGAGTTTCAGGAGATATTTGCATAAGTAGGTCAACAGTCTGTTGACTGTGTTGGAAAGTGTGGATCAGCAGCACATACTGTACTGTAGTACACACAGTACAGTACACAAAAAAGTTTATGTTTGTCATGGCAGTGGATTCACACCAGTATAAGGCTGTCAATAATATGAGAATTAAGGAGCTTTAAGATCCTTTCAAAATAAATTTTGAGAGATTTATAAACTGAATAATGACATTATGAGCACAATTAAATGACCACAATTTAATCCACATAACTACACTGCTCTCCAAGTAAAAGATAGCAAAACTCATTGTGAGTTGGATTAAATAAATAAATAAAAGGTAATAATAAAAAAAAGTCAATATTAGCTTGGAGACCATTTTAAGTTGACTAAAGGTAACTGTTATTTAGATTTTATTATTATAATTAAATAATACACAATTCTATTAGTTTTTTAATTATTAAAAATATTACAGACTTTAATGTCAGTCTATTAAATGTATTTAAAAAAACAGAAGTACAGTATCTTAAAATGACCTTTGGGAAAATGGAGATTAAATCAGCTAAGACTAATGGTTAGCATAAAATTACCCTAAGATTTGTCAAGCTTAACTACAAAAATAAGGCAAAATAAAATATTCAACCTAAGCAACATAAATCTCAAAATGTGAATAAAACAACACTATATTATAAGAATAGCAACACATTTTTAAGTCAGTGCCACATACAGTAATTTACCAGAACAAGTAAAACCCTTAGTAAATCACTCATAAATTATTTTAATGAAATGGTTAATAACCTCCTGAAACCTTCAGAGGAAGATTCTAACTGTAGTGAGCAGCAACAGTGAGACTGAAAGTGATGTGGATTTCTTTTGTCTCACCCATGACGAGTGCTCCTTCATCTGGTGCTGGTTGCTGTGAGGACCGTTGGCATGTCCGCGCCAGAAGCAGCTCTGACACAGCTGGTAACCATGGCACTGTTGGCACCGGTAGCGGAAGCCCATCATGCTCTCGCTCCGGCAGTAAGAACATTCCACAGGATGAAAGACTGAGACCAGGGAAAAATGGATTTAATGATCACAGTTTTCAGTCTCAAAGAAATATATACAGTTTTACATGTTGTCAACATTTGGGCTAATCATTAAAGGCCTCACAGATAACCTTTAAGCTATTTTGGGCTAGCTACTGTTTTAGATTTGTTTTCGTCAATAGAGAACATTCAGTTCTGTTGGCTTTTAGGTAATTTCAAGCCTTGTATCAAGCCAAGTATCTTAACAATACCAAAAAAAATTTGATTTTTAAAATTGGTTTAAAAAATGTTTTATTTTTTATTTTAGACAGATACAGTATGCTATTTTTGTTTGACTTTTTTGTTTGTTTTACATTTCTTGGACAACATTTAGGCAACTACTGTCTCATTTAACATCAGCTTTTTTAACAGTTTAAACTTATTTTGTACAATTTGGTCTGTTTGTTATTTTATCTATTTAGATGTGTTTTCTGCTATTTATTACCTGGATTTGTACTAGCCTGGACATCAACTAATCTTAAAATATCAAATTTATTGATAACCCATTTTTAAATATGGTTTTACATTTTCAATATTTAAATTTTCAAGATTTAAAAAAAAAAGTTTTACTGTTGGTAGAGCGTACAATAAGTTATGTTTGACATGTTGCTACCGTTTAGCAATGCTGTTTGTTTTTTTTTTTAGCCATTAGCTTTACCTTATTTGGATTACCTAGCTCCTTTACTAATTAACATTTAGTACTTAGTCTTACCTCGCTTAAATTTCTACAGTTCATCAATTTTCTTGGTAACAGTGGAGGCGGTGTAAATCGGACATATTTTAAGCTACATTATATTCCACATCTCACCGTTTTCAACATTAGCCAGTCGGTGCATGAGTGGCAGCCACACCAGACACTGAGGCGGAGGATCTGCCATCAACACGTCCAAGAAGGTGTTCAACATGATCTTCTTCTAGATGAAAACACAAAGAGACGTATTTCCTGTCACATTTAAACGTCATAATTTTTTTTATTTTAAAATAAGAAGTCATGTTGTTAGAATGTCCCACCTGCTGGGGGAAGCACGTCCTCACTGAATGTTCCGTGTATCCGAACGAAGGTCCCTCAAACACGGCCGTGGGCAGTTTCAGCACTTCACGAAGAAACTGGTCAAACTTGGCGAAGGCCATGACTCCATTCGAGTCGGATATCTGGGAGAAAATATCTGACAGACAAGAAAAATGTAACAGTACTTTAGTCTCTCTAAAACATAATACTAATCATGTCAATTAATCACCCAAGTCCATACAAGTGGACTGAATGTCAGCGCGGTCCAACAGTGCCCTCAAGTGTTGGACCTGGGCAACTGCAGAAAAACGTTTTCTTCCCGAACTAAATGTAAGAGGGGATTAAAATAATATAGGATAAAGACTACTGGTTAGTAAAGAGTTAAATCTCAAGATAGGAAGAAATTAGCCACAAAATCACAAGTGGTAAGCTGGGAATCAATGTAAGAAACAAACATTTAAATACTTAAATTAAAAATTAAAATTAAAAATAGAAAACTAATAAAATAGCTAAAACAATTAGCTATGGTAAATTCAGGGCTAGGTACGGCCATTCTCGGAATGACATGAACTGACTGTGAATAGTTACAGATTAGAAGTGATATATTCTGGGTTATCATTCAGCTTTACAATAACAGGAGTTATTGAAGTTAACTAACAGGCATAATTTCATAACCAAATATGACCATCATTAGAAATAAACAGACATCCTTTTGGTATACCACTTGGCCAAAAGTGTACTTACAGCGAAGTTTGTCAACAATTTTGCCTCCACACATTGTGGCCAGCATCGCTTTCATTGAAAAAACCGTCAACTTCCCATGGCTCTCACTGTGAAAAGACAGATGCTTTGTTAATATATCATATCAAAATGTGATGTTTTAAGAAAACGTAAAATATTAATTATTAACATTTTGTATCAGAAGTCAGACTTAATCCTCATTTTCTGGTACAGCTTTTATAAATATTTTTTCTCGCAATTTTTTATCCTGTCCAGAATCAGACTTAATCCTCTTCTGGTACAGCTTTTATAAATATTATTTCTCGCAATTTTTTATCCTGTCCAGAATAAAATATTATTATTAACATTTTGTATGACTTAATCCTCTTTTTTTGGTACATTGTGAAATTATGATCTATTTTACTCTGAACACACACTGTGAAATTATGATCTATTTTACTCTGAAGTTTAATAGTAGCAGTTGACTGTTGATGTTTCATCCATTAAGTCTTAAAAAAGGAAACACAAATAAAGTACTGTAATACCTCCACTTCACACCAGAGTTTAACATGTCAAATTCACAGGTCGTCACCAGTGTGTCTGTTAAACCTTTTAAAATCCTCCTGACATGCTGGGGCAGGGAGAGCAGCTCTTTCATCCCAGACTCATTTAGCTCTGACTTCCGAGCAGAGGTAACATGAAAGCTTTTCTGCCTAATTCAGTTTGGACCTCAGGGACAGATACGGAAAACTACTTCCTGCCCAGGATGTTGGGCTCTCATTTCTCACAGTGTTTTCCAAGAGATGCGGCTGCATGGATAATCACACAGCACGTCCATTTCAGATTAAGGTAAACCAATCGAACACAGCCCCGAGAAAGGACAGAGCGAGCTGCCAATCAATGTGAGCACACACAAGGTAGGATAATGAAACAGAGGTTTATGGACAACCATAAACTTCCTCCGTGCTGCACGACGCAACATTTTAGGGCCTTTCAGTGCAGAGACATTAGGAGGAGGAGAGATGGTAGATAAGAGAGTAAAACATGAGCAGAGATACTTCAGCTGAGAGTCTCTTTAACACACTGCACTTTTATATCTACTCTTTAGTGGAGAAATAAAAAAAATGCTACATCAGGTGTCACTTCACTGCCTGAAATGAAGAAACTACAAGACTGACAATAGGCGTCATGTGGTCAAACACAAGGTTTCAGAAGTGGGTTGTAGGGCCACTCTTTACCTTGCTGTGCACAATCTTTCAATCTACTGTACACAAGGGGGCGCTGCAGAGACAGTCTTTTTAAAGACTTTTTGTTGAATACTGAAATATCTGTTTCGTCTTGGATTTAAATAAGATTTTGTTAATGCTACATAAAGGTATACAATGTTACCCCTGCCTTCCAGTTCATTGTTGTGTTGGTACAAGTATTCAGTAGTGGCAAGTACACAAGAAAAATTCTTACGAACTTAAGTTCCCAAGTATTTACTGTAAGAAATGCATTGTGGGATGTGGAACTATTTATTGATCCCTTTTACCATGAGTTCCTGCTACTGTTGTTCCTCTGGTTTGATTTGGCTTCTGCTGCAGCTTTATCTCATAAAGAGCATTTTGCTGAAGCATCCGTGCAGACTCTCCTGCCCCCTACCTGTCGTATGTGGCCACCATGAAGTTGAGCAGCAACCCGATGGACTGCTCCACATTGATCTGGTGGGTGGTGGGCAGCCGCTTGTTCAACTGGTAGTAGATGGAAGACAGGATCGTCTCCAGCCGTGACACATTGATTTCAGCATTGTGGTCCAGTGTGTTGAGTCCGTTGTCACGGAAAGCTTCGATCATGTTCCAGACGTCCACCAGATGAACTGTCAGTGGAGGACACAGACATCGAGTGATCAGCGCTGGCTTTCATTGGCTACAGAGAGTCATAACAGACCAGACGGTCTAACCAAAGAGAGAGAGAAAAGGCTCTTACGATTGCATCTCTTTTGCACAAATCGGAGTTTACAGGCGGTCCTGTAAGTGGACAGTCTGATGACGTCGAAGTTCTGAGCTCCTGCGAAACAAAAGAACGCAGACTGTGGTTAAATAGTTGCCATGTATTTATTTTAATGCATACCATAGATATAAGACGGTTTTCGAGAACAGAACCCATTTGGATATGTCAGAATGCATTCCATGTGGAACAAATGCAAACTGCACACATGCTTAGTGTACGTACAGTAGGATCACTTAGAAGGCTTTACTCCAATATACCACAAGAATTGGGCCATAAAAGGTAAACATTTCAGCATTTGCAGCCATTTTTCTGGACTCAAGTTGTTGTAAATACAACACCAAAACCCAGTCTGGCCCGATTCATCTGGACCACAGATGAGTGTATCTGGGTCTCACGGGTTTCTTCCAACTCTTAGCCCATAACAGATGTAATGATTGTGCGCACTGTGAACTTTGCCCTTGTCCATGTGCTTCCTGTTGCTGTATTCTGTCTTGTTATGTCTTATGACCTGCAACATGAATCCATGACCTTAGCCGACAGATCATATACGTACTTGATAATACGTTTACCTATTTTATATTTTATATTTATCAAAAAAACACAACTAAAATTTATATTTTTAAAGTAGTCAGTTGTTATTTATTATTTTTAATCAATAAACTTTTGCACAGTACCATAGTTAACTGTTACCCAAATATGGGAAATATAAATGGATCCTGGTTCCTTCATCTAAACTCATAAAAGTAATTTACATGTTTTTGGGGGAGTTATTACTCCATAGAATACGATAAAAACTCTGTCAGTAATTGTTGTTGACTTTGTTTTCTAGCCATTAATCATCATTTAACACAACACTTCTCACTGAAGGTAAACTCAAACTCCCTCCGTGTCCTTGCGTAGGAGGAAAATAAAAACGTACGTGCCAGCGACCACGCTTCTCCTGTGAAACTTTTGGAGGCCATTCTCGCAATGACATGAACTGACTGTGAATATTGAAAAGAAGAGATTTTCGCTCAGTCGACTCCACTCACTCATCTCCATGAAGAGCTGCCTCTTCTCCACCATGGCCTTGCCTCGTTTACTGCCTTCCTCGATCATCCTGCAGCACATCACACAGCAGAGCAGGCAACGTTAACAAGCTCAGACAGCGGTGAAGCTATAAATGCAAAACACTCCCCAAAAATCACTGAGAGATTACAGCGAGGCAGTATGAGACCATAAGAGGAAATTGATGGTTTTCCCACCAGAGAACTTGGATAATCTAAGACCACCTAAAGAAATTCTTATAGCTTAAATATTAATGTTGACTTTGCAGGACTATATCATACATTACACATGCTCCCTGATGCCGCAGATTATAAATTGGATGTTGTTTTTGCTTTTTGGCAGGTAATTAAATTAACAACATTAACATTTACATTACAAACCAGCTACAAATGTAATTATTGGCTTTCATGACTGCTGCACCTTAATTTAATCAAATAGATCAGATGATTACATTAAATTTAGAATAATTCAATTATCAAATCCAATCCAGTCATTTCATGTTTATACTGCAGGCTAAGATTTTTTTTTAACATTTGAGTCAAGTGTCTGGAATACCGCCATGTTTTGCCTACTTATTAACATTTGAGTCAAGCGGAATACCGCCATGTTTTGCCTACTTATATTCCTTTTATTCCTATCCCTGGGCCTTTTTTTACACATAAAAAGATTATAGTGTTCTGAGTGTAAACAGAGTGTAAACAGAGCAAATAAGTTTTTCATTTGGATAGTTTAATATTTGACTAAAATTTCTGGTTATCTTATGTGGGTCCATCTCACTTTTGCAATATCTGGCCCAGCTTTACTTTATCAAGTTTTTATATTTTAGTACATGTGTTAATGTCAATTAACTGAACTTTCCCCGCTTATGTTTTGCAAAAGTTTTTTTTGAGAGCATTAAAATAGGTATTGCACAGTAATCACAATGATAACTATACAATACAACGGTTAAAAGTTATGGGAAATACTTTTATATTCCACCATCTACAGTAAGACCTGTATTAACGCCTGACGTAACATCAGCGTTGGCACAGTTGTGTCATTTCAACATATAGTTATTGTTCAAGACCTTATTTGTTGTTGAACTCAATAAAGTCGCCCTGGTGTAGGACAAGTTCCCTTTGAAACACTATCACTTTCCTTATTTCATTCATTTCCCCTGTGTGCTGTATTGTCACTGCAGTCTTTAATGCGCTGCCGTAAGTCATCTCTACTTTCACTGAATCTGCAACGGCAGCTCTTCACACTCATGCTCTTTCACTGTAATATAACACAATGGTTTTATGGGATTGATATATATTCTACCATATCACATGAATATTAGCATTTTTCCTTATGATTATGAGCTATTATGATTTCACAAAACGGATTTATGTAATAAACATGTATTTTTCAGTAATTGTCACATACTTTTGGATGAAAATATTATACATTGTTACAGAATTTGGAAGAAAATAAATAATAATAAATAATCCTAAGCTTTCTTATAACAATTTGTATAATTTATAGAACCATAATATTCAAATCGTACGTGTTTTTATCTCTTTTTTCTCTGAATACTCAAATACTCTTATTTGACAGTAACTAAAAAAAGTTTCAGAAAATGGAAATATATAGTTTGTATAGTAAGATACCAATGTATTGGATCCAATAAATTTGTGCTCTGATAATATAATGTTATATTTTTACAATAAGCATTCTCCTATAGCAGTGCCATTAGCATGTGAGCTAAAACAACTTACTGCTACAGCTAGCATGACATACAGTACTTTGGCAGACTGGGTGTTTTAAATGTGTGGGAAGGCAAAAACAAATTTAATGAGTAATTTAGTTGTTACTAAGAAGCAGTACCGAGTGAGTATAAGACAGCTAACGTAGCTGCCGCAGTTAGCAGTTACTGTAGTGCCAAGGCTACAAACAGGAAACAGATTTTTTAGTTACCGATGTTATCGGTATCTCCATTTTTTGTAATAATCTGTCAGATTGGATTTAAAATGTCATTACTTACTAAAGCATTATAAATAAAAGTAAATATTTTATCCACAAAACTGAAAAATTAGTATTTGCAGAGCATTTGTTTGCTACATCTTAAGCATTGCCGGTGTAGCATGTGGCACTTGAGTATTTAAGCAAATATGGAATCTGACTATGACTATGAATATGTTTAATTGGTTTTTGTGTTCGTGTAATACACTTACACAATGACACATATAAGAAATGAACACTTTTATAAACACTCACCTGCTTCTGGATGAAAGTCAATCCTTGAACAGGTCTAAATGTTGATCCTGCAAAAGGACAAATGACAATAGTAATTAAACATCTTTACACTAACACATGAGGAAGTGTTAGAGATAGGCTACTCTCACTGACAAAATGTGGCTTTTAAAAGAGCTTATAACACGTCCTGCTGCTCCTTCCTTCACTAAGACTTTATTAAGTCCCAGTGTGTGCTTTCAGCTTCCCCGGTGTGTCCTCTGGTGAGGAGACTCTGCTGAGTTATAGCGGGTAAAACACTCCACTGCCTGTGGTCTGGGCAAAATGATAATTCTCCATGACATGTCGCTCAGCAGTGACTGCATCCTGTGGCCCTAATGACAGCGGCTGAGCTGCGAAGAAGCCACTAAATGATAATGGACACATAACACATTACGCTTGGCCGGTGACTGATGAGCCCCATGGAGCCAGGGGCCCGAAGATCCCAAAATATGTCCCAGTCACATGGTCTATGTGACCAGGAAGGAGGGGGATGAGCCAAAGTTAGGAGCACTACCACCAAAACATCAGCTGACATGAAGGTTTCGCTCCTTATGTCATGTTGTGTTTTGTTTTAGCCTTACTGTAATGGTCATTTCCTCTAAAAATCAATAACAGTGGAGCGTTCAGGACATTTCAGATGGGAACGTTTTCCAGTGAAATTAGACTCTGAAATTTCTTTCGTTGGTTAACCCAGAAAAAAGAAGAGGATGTGGGGGAGGGTTGGGATCAGCTCAGCTTATTTGCTGATGCACAACACAGTTGTTGATACACTAGTCTATGTAAAATAAACGTGTATTTCAGGCTGGTAACTGCTATATATGTTATCTGTTCTGATGAAAAAAAAATAGGATTCTTCTTTTAAATTATAACTTTCTATGAAACAGTGATGTTTCAGCAACAGTTGAAACTCATGGGAATTTTACACTGCATTTAAACTGCTGCATACTGGTTATACAGTATATAATACATAAAAAGATATATAATATATATTACAGTTAGACAAGTGATATTTGACCTCCATGGTCTGTCCTCGGAGTTGCATTCTTCTTTGTTTTTCTTTGTTTGTCCTTGCCCTGAATAGTGGCCTTGAGTACATTGAAATCCTGTCTGCTGGTCCTAGGACGCTGATCGATGAATTGAAAAACTGTCCCAAAGACGATTCCCTGAATATTGACATGCTGCGTTTAAAGGTGGAAATAAAAGATCTACAGCAGAAAATGGAAAAAGACCTTCCATTCAAAAATATTAAGGTGATTTATAGGGGTTTTAAGACTATAACTGCGGGTCACAAACCTTTTTCTGACGGGTTACAGTATAACTGTGGTTGATCGCCCACACATTTAGATCAATGTAACAACACTGTCATTTCAACAAGACCATCAATATCATTGAAATAAAATAAAAATAAATTCACAAACTACTCCATATTTCCACAGCCAGCTTTGAGCCCATTTCCTACCTGTGATGTTGCGGTAACATCTACCAACAACTGCATTTTAAATGTTGTTTACATATTCAAATTGCAAATCTATGTGACTCATAGTAAAAAAAAGGTTTAATAATCACATAGTTTTCTTGGGATACAGGAAAAATATATGATCATATTCTAGAAAAATCTTCAGAAAAATGTCACTGCTAACTAAAATGGAGTGAGAACTTGTCCAACTTTCTTTCACAGTCACTAAGTCAAACACCAGAAGCGCCAACATCATCCCAAAACGAAACCCAAAACAAAAAGAACCCAGGGTTCCAAGATGGCCGCTCATCCTGTCTAAAGTAGTGAAACTGAGGGTTACTACCAGAAAAAACTTTTGTTCTGCGCGTATAACATTATAATCTTAGCCTCTGTATATAACAAGGAACATGGTGTTACTCTCAGAAACCAACACACACATCTGGTCGTTGACGGTGTCTCTCTCAGCCATGAAGTTCAATGAACATTAGGGAAAACAGAAGTTCGTGATTGGGATTTAGTCACAAATTCTGTGAACCAAAAATGTGCTCAGTGGGAGATGCAACAAACACACGTCAGCGAAAACAACACAATGGTTTATTGTAAATATTCCTCGCGAGAAGTATGAGCTGAAATTCATGAGTAGGCAACTCCAGGCTGGATTCGGCAGGAAAATCCTGAGAGTAGACGATAACTGCAAACGATAACAATAGTCCGTATTCAAATCAGATAAAGGTGGAAAAGACTCGACTTCTGATTTATTCATGGAGAAATGAAGAGCACATTCACAGCCACGGGACACGGATCAGTGCGATTATTCTGTCATTGACATGGAATTATTTGTACATTAATTTAACAATAATAATAATAAAAAATCTCAGTCATTAAGGTGCGTTCATGTCATTTCCTCAGTGAAACCGCACCTTCAGCTCCGAGGTAATGACAACATCCCTCTTTGACGGACTCGGTTACTGCAGTATCTCCCTTCCGCTGACATCATACACTTCTTGGTTTGTACATTTTTTTCCCTCCACACTGAGCGACGCTGCAACACTTCCACCAATGCTCACTTCTCACGCACTAACGCAGCCATGATGCTGCTGATTCCACCGCAGATCTATCTTATTTCTGCATCGCAGTGGTGTTTGGTTTTACTGACGGATGAGAAACGTTGGATAATTGACATTCTCACTGCTGTCGAGTTATTATTAAGAAAAAACCAAGCACAGACAGGTTGAGAGCATCCTCAGCCTCAGCCTCAGCCTCAGCCTCAGCCTCAGCCGCCTCAGATGTGCAGGCCGCGTGGACCGGAGTGGATCAGCCGGGGGGATTTCCCGCATCATGGCGCCTCACGTCCAGCCCTGGGAGTTAGGATTTAAGGTTGTATTTTACAGAAAGAAGGAGAAGGAGAGAGAAAAACAAACCCAACCATCGCTTCCACTTCTATTTATTTGCCACATGTTCGCGCTGTCATTTTCCCCAAAGATAAAATCTACTGATGTCAGTGGGAGTGGTGCAAGAACAAGGACATAATTCAGATAAATGGATGGAGATGCCAGGAGAAAAGGAGCCTCAGCATCAGCCTCAGCCTCAGCATCAGCATCAGCCTCAGCATCAGCATCAGCATCAGCATCAGCCTCAGCCTCAGCCTCAGCCTCAGCAGCATCAGATGTGCAGGATGCGTGGACCGGAGTGGATCAGCAGGGGATATTTCCTGCGTGATTCACAGCCGCACTCTCACCTTTGATGAATCCACGGGAACGCGGGCGATGTTACAGCTGTCCGAGCGATGAGAAACGGCTCCGTCCATCCATCATCATCATCATCAGCAGCAGCAGCGTCACTGTCATGATGATCACCTCCACCAGCCTCGCACAGCTTCAGTGACGGGGGGCTGCGCCTCGCTCCTGCTACAGCATCACCAGTACATCCACCAGCAGCAGACCCAGAGGCAGCAGAGGACAGAGCACAGCAGAGCAGCAGATCCACAGATGCCATGCGCGGCCTCCTACTACACTTTTACGCATGTGCACGCACGCACGCACGCACTCATGCACGCACGTTGCTTCACGCACAGGCGCGCATCTACTACAGCTGCTGTTCCTCTGAATTATGATCCAACCTCCAACCATAGTAGAAATGGGAAGACAGAGAAGAGCAGGGATTTAAAGGTGCAATACACTCTTTTATTACCTACGCGATGACATCAAGCCAGATGAGCTGATAATTAAAGAACAACAAAAATCTTTTTTTTTTTGCATCAGCTACTATGCATACACTATATATATACCGTATATACAGTACAATGTTATATAAAGCAGAGTACTTTCTGACTAATCAAAGTGCTCATCTTAACTAAGATGCTCTCTGACTTTTGTTTTCAGCCATTTTTTGGAATTACTAAGGTTTTATAATCATATTTCTCCGCACCTGTCCCTTGGACATTCTGCCATCAAACCTCTGACTTTATTACTATCACACTTTGATACATACCTGTCATTTTATCCTAATCGTAAGATACCCTCAGTGAGATCTGCTATGATGCTTTGGTACATCATGGAGGTAGAGTTGAAGATAATGAGTGGACAAGAGTTGACGTGAAGTGGATTTGGATTCAATGAATTTAGAACAAAAAAACCCAGACTTTACAACTTGTTTTTCTATTATTTATTCATAATAGTCTCTAATAAAATACACTTTGTTTACAGGTGCTGATTACTATATTACATTCACCCAGAGTGAGACAAAAATGACACAATTTAAAATTGTTATTGATTGTCCATGAAGAGACTTCTAGTTGAGGGTGTTGGTCTAAAAGTACACACACACTCACACACACACACAACAGGTGACAGTGTTGACGGTTGACAGGTTCTTGTTGGTGTCTTCATCCAACAGTAGTTTCAGCTGCATTGTCTCATTTAAATGTTTTTATGGCAACGTCTTGCTGTGGACTGGTCTTTAAAAGCACCTGACAGCACACAGCGTTCCACCATGACGATTACCCACTGAAAATACATGTACACGGCAGTGTCCACAACATCAATGACAATTTAAGTGAAAGGACACCCCTACTGAGAACCATTTGTGAGTTTCACAACTTTAACAAGACACACAAAATCACACAGACACACACAGAGAAATCCTTCGTTTTCAACATGTACACTTAAAATATGACTTGGTTTTGTGTCATCTGACATAGAAAAAGCACTTTAAGCACAGTCTATGTGCTTAAAAATATAATTTTTTTTCTAAAAAGTAAGAACAGAGTTTTACATCATCAATGGGTGGGTCGTGACCCCAATTTGGATCAATGGGCAAAGTTCTTAAGGTCAAATGCTTGGGAAATAGCACTTTGACCTTTTTGTTAAACCAACAGTAAAATTTTAAACTGCATTTTTGTGCCCCCTGTAGGAAGGGAAGAGAAAAACACATGCTCTAGGTTTACAGCATTTTCTACCTTTAAGTTTAGCAAAATACTTCCTCAACGACTCATTAAAGAACAACGGTGTCACATGATACAGACATTTGACTGGAACGTATTCAAATGAACGGAAGAATCACAAAACCCTGGTCTTTACAGTGTTTTTGATACCTGGAAAATACGAATTACATTTTTTCTCCATCTTGTGGTCAGTCCAGTCTAAACAAAATTACAAAGAGAAATAAATGGACAGCCAATATATTATTATTATAGTAAATACCCTGTTGATTTGTCTAAAACAATTAGCAAATAGATCTCCTTTATATTAAAATATATTAATTAAAATATATTACTTTGACTAGTCAGACATATAAAAGAAATGATTAGTCTACAGGATTGTTAACTGTTTTCAAGGTGACTTTGGTATATTAACATGTAAATAAGTGCTATAAAACAGGCCTAACTGTGAACCTCCAGAAAACCGGAATTTATAAATGATGTCTTTTTAATCTGGGATCATCTGAAAAACCTGCAGTATCAACATTTCACACCAGCCTTTTCACATCATTGCGTTAAGATTAGTATCAAGTGTCAATCACTACTGTCACACTTGCAAAAAATGTCTTCTTTGAATGCTTTACAGCGCAAATCTGTCAACTGTGGTACTGCGCCTAGAGCTAAATTTCTGTGTCTAAAGCAGACTTGTTATGGACTTTACATGTTCTATACAGTCCGTGGTGAGGTGTTCTCTAGTAAGCAGCATGATCCTGTTGCACAGGCACAGAGGCATTAGCTGATGTTCAAGAAAACTAGAACTCTAGCTGTATTTTGGGGTTCTTAACAACACCGGAGCCCCAGAAATGCTGTTTCATGAGACATTGGAATCACGTTACGCTTGCCTACTAGTGCATTTACTGTAGAGCACCCCCTGCTGGATCATGAGGAATCTACAGGAGCATAGTTAAATGAGGCTTTAACCTGGTAGTTTAAAACCAAGGCATAAAAGTCTTACTGTGGTTACACAGTCAGTGCCCTAAAACATACCTGCGCTACAGGTCTGTGTTCTGCTTACATCATATCACATGTAGGAGTACTCCCTGTGTAAACCAGAAAAAGGCCATAGTGAAGTGAAATGTTAAACCTGCCTGTTTGTCAGTGTTACAATTCATGTCCAATTCATCTTTGTGTCTTCTGCAACGTAGCATATTTTACTGTTCTTCTTTATATTCTTCCCACTGTTAAAATCACTGTTGTATAAACTGATCAATACACCAAAGAACGTTGTGCTGAAAAAATAAAATAAAGCCACTTTTCTACATCTAGGCAATATGTATAAGCACATATATACATTTTTACTCAGCCTCTGCTGATTTGCAAATGAAAAGAAAACAGAAGAGGCAGTTTCTCTGAACCCGCCCTCTGAAGAGAAAGCTTAGGTTCACAGAAAAAGAAATGACTTTTGACCTCAGCCTGGAACGGAAAAGATCATATTTTTTCAAAAAGAAATAAAAATAGCATTCATATACATACATATATATATTTATGGTTTTTTTTTTTTCATTTTTGTGCGATTTAGTGTAAGTGCTGTACACAATAACTGTCCCATCAAAAGTGCCACTTACCAGCTAACAAAACAAATTACATTAATGTACTTTTATAACAGTTCTTAAGTAAATTTTTAGAAAATTCATCATTTAAAATGATCAGCATCCTCTAAAACTATAAATTTTCTTTTTAAATCTTTCCCTTGCATGTGTACATTTTTAAAAATACAAAATAGTGACTGTAAGTTGCACTTCCCTGCCATACATGCATCAATGCCAAAATCGGAGGTACTCTACAATAGATGATTATCATTAGCGCCAAGGTTTTTTTTGCTGACAGATTAGGCCCAATAATAAAGGGTCTAAAAAAACCCACAGTTTTCTGTGTTCTACAAAATAATAACATTCATTTTCCCTCCTTTTTTTAAAAACTACACTCACACATATACATACATACTGTATATATTTAAAAATATATAACAATTATTCTAATCAAGTGCAAAAATTGCCAGATTTAATAAAACCTCTAATTGGGTTGAAAACTGATAGAGATTACTACCAAAATAATTGCACTATAACAATTTTTTTTCTTAAACGTTGGTGAACAAAAGACCATCCAGTGTAAATCCTCCAATTTCTCTCCGTGACTAAGTAGCGTTCCATGAGGTTGAGATCGTAGCTTAAACCTACTCTGTACCAGTGTTGGATTAAAGAATCCACAGTGAAGAGAAAAAGGGAACTTGTTCTGTTACACACTATAGTTACTAAAAAAGTAAAGTAAGATGTTAGGGTACTCATGTGTTACCAAAATTAGACTTTCAGTTAAAAAAACTGTAGTAAATCCTCCGAAACACATACGTAGTGAAGGCTGATACAGACTTTGTGTACGTGGAAAAATGTGGCAAGCTGGCAAGAACAAATAATAAATCATGTCCTGCCACTTCACAGTTGAAAAGAAATCCAGTCCCAAACTTCTGAAGTCTGAACAGGACCTCCCACTACAGCATAAGTCACATATGCTAAACACTGGGGGGATTTACAGAATGTCATAAACTCTTGGTCAGAGTTAGGTCTGATGATTCAAAGACGAAATCACAACGCAACCACCTAAATATAATGAACATGAGGTCAATAAACGCCTAATTTCAATGGTCAAAAGTTGATTGATGATGATGACTCGGACTATGATGGCGCACTGCTAGAATCCCCAGATGGTTTAGGGTTCCATTTACTCGGTTCCTAGTCCCACATTGGGTTTCAACAGAAAGAGTATCCTGGATAATCACTATGTGGACTATCGCTGTGGAGACTCGTGATTATGGGACAAACCAAAAGTGAAAGTACGTTATTATCCTTGACCGATGGCCAACATTAACAGACACAGAACATAAATAATGGGTGTTGGTCATCTGTAGTTGATGTCTGTTATCTGCTGGTCAACATACAGTATCTTCCAATTGGCCAACAATGTGATTGATGTTTCATGGGCTTCAAAATAATGGAATAAAAATGACGGGTTGACTGAGAACGTTCTCAGTCTAAGGCCTGAGGTTACTACTGGCAACAAAAAAGTACTCTAACATATTACTGCGTAACAGATTTACCCAACACTGTTCTGCACTGATGCAGAATAACCTCCTTCTACTTTACTGTGTCTTGATTTACCAAAACCCAAACCTCTCACATCTCTCGGACATCATCGTACCACCAAACATGAGACGCACAGTTTAGAAGGGCCGATGCAGTCGTCATGGCAGAAGGCTCCGCACCCTTTGCACATGATCATGGCCTTCAGTCGACAGTAACATTTGGACTGGACATCCTCTATGTTGGAACCTTGAATGAACGACTGCTCGGGCAAAGGCTCGCCCTGGTCTCCGTGGTCTAACGAGTGACCGGCAGGAATGGTGGTGACGGTCACCGAGAAGGACATGACGCTTCCTCCATCTGCCTCTGATGAGGATGTAGAAGAGCTGGTGCTGGTGGCGATGCGGCTCAAAGTCTGAGGTACGGACATGCTGACAGAACCACCGAAGCACTGAGGTCCAACAGGCTCTTGATTTTCCGGCGTTCTCTGGGCGTGAAAGGCGGGCGGCTGCTGGTGACAGGGATCTTCCTGGGTGAGATATGGCTCGGAGTTCCCCAGATTACTATTGCAGAGTTCGAGGTGCCTTCGGTGTGATTGGGAAAAAGAGCTGGTGTCTTTGGCTGTGGTGTAAGTGCTGTTGTTATCTGAACCAGCTGCACTGTCCTCTGATTCTGGTTCAGTTTTTACACTGGTGCAGTGCTGAAAGCCTGCCACGTCCTCAGTCTTGATTAATGACTGTCTCTGCTGCTCTGTTTTAACCTCAGAACCAGAAGAAAAGACCTTGGTAACAGGCTCTTCCTCCTTCTCCGTCTTTTGTCTTTCTATACCGTCCCTTTTCAAACTGCTGTTGGGGATCATTGACTGCACCATCCTTCTGCTCTCTGGTCCTCGACCGTATGTAGACACATTGAGCAGATAGTGTCCTGTCATCGCAGGTCTAGCAACCCGCTTGCGACCCAAAAAGCCAAGACAAACCTTCGACTGGTCCTGATGATCCCCTGTGGGCACCAGCTGAGGGACTCTGTACTGAGAATGTATATCCCCAAAGGAGTAGTCTTTCTGGACTTTCCTCTGCATCAGCGCCTGTAGGATCTGCTCTTGGGCCTCCTTATTGGGAAGTTCTCTGTATATTCTTGGGGATTCTGGTGAAACTCCAGCTCCACCTGCTGCCCCTGGCAGGTGAGATATCTTATCAATCCTTTGCTCAGCAGAGAGTGAGGATTTCTTTTTGCTCGTGGAAGGTGGTTTTGACGTCTTGGACAGAGGTTTTGGGAGGATTTGTTCCAGTGGAACCTCTTTGCCCTGAAGGAGCTGGGTGACCAGTGGGTTGTTTGCGGGAATGCAGGAGCTGTTCCTGGTTGACGATACAATAGGAGGCAGGTTCTCCTGTACCTTTGGAGTGTCCACTGGTGAAGGCGGTACTGAGGTGTTTGAAGTGTTTACAGTGTCTTTGTTATATTCTACACTTGCACTACCAGCGGGTGGACCATACTGAGAGTAACCAAGGCTGGTTGAATGAGATGCAACAGATCCAGTTGTGGAAGAAGAATCCACTGAGTGAGAAGGTGACGTGATGCACAGATAACTGCTGGTTGGTAATCTGCTTGGCGTCTGTGGGGATGTCGGGCTGAGGTTGGGTAATAGATGTGTCTGCTCACCGCCACCTCCTCCAGGTCCCGGGCCCGGCACGGCTCCCCTTGACGCCATAGACATGGCAGCAGCTGCCGCTCGCTGTGCTCGTGCTAGTTGTGCTTTTGCCTTGATGTCAGCCAAAGTGCGAGCACCAGGGCGACTCGGGCTGCTGAGGGGGGCAGGGAGCGGTGTCCTGGGAGAGATCTGGCTTGGTGACAATGGAACAGGCTGAATTCTCGACACTGGGATCTGAAATTTGAAAACAGAATAAAAATGATATCACACACCATAAGTGGGAAAAAAAAATCTGAAAATCATCATTTTGTTTATGAATAAAACAATGATTTTTGTTGTGTATTTGCCAATGTTTTTCCCCAAATCTGAGGTAACTTCATCTTCATCAAGTTACATGCTGCACTATGAGAGCAAATGATCTGTTTCGCTAAAACTGCATATAAATGTACTATGAAAGTGAATTATTTGTCATTGTGACACAGCACATCACTGATCACAAGGAAATGTGACCTCTATCAGTTAGAACTTGTACCTGGCCTACCTTGAGTGGTGGAACTCTCTGGTTTGTTGCAGAGGTTGGAGTTGCAGGGCTGGAGATGGAGGATGCTGAGAGGGAAATGGAAGAGGAGACTGAAGATGTGGAGGAAACTGAGGAAACACGAGGTCTTTTCTCTGGTGTCAATTCACCCTCTGACTCACTCACGGATTTTCTCTTGAGAGGTTCTGAGGGGCCACATGGCTCTGACATGACCTTTTCACTCTCAGCAGGCTTAACCACAGACTGTGTCTGATCCTCCTTAAGCTCTGAGCTATCCTGCAATGGAGGGCTTTTCTTCACGAGCGATTGGGGGAGTTCATCTTTCTCCTTCTTTGCTCCTTCCTTATTATCGAGTACTATACCCACCGCCTGTCCTTCAGCCTGTCTCTGCTCCTCCTTCTCTGGTGTCTTTATTACAGCTATTTCCGTCTGTACTCTCGCATTTAACCTGTGATCCTCCACCGACTGTGAGCGCCGCGTTTTCATGGGCTGTATGGTGAAAAGGGCCTCTCTCGCAGCGGGACGTGTCCTCAGAGGCTCTAGAGATGGTGCTTGCGATAACTTTGTGTTTTTAACAATCCCGTCAGCCTGTTTGATATCTTTTCTGCTCCTGCTTTCCTCTGGTGCTTGAGTGACCGCTCCAGTTTTCTGAGGGAGCAACTGAGGTTTTGGAGACTCCAGAATCGTATCAACCTTCGTCAACTTTTTGGATTCCTCAAAGCTGAGCCCAGAACTATACACATCAGAAACACAGATAAATAAATTGGACTTCAAGATTTTTTAAAAGTCTTTAAACAGTAAGCATTTCAATCCTTGTCAAGGAATTCATTTTATCATTTTGAAATAAAAAGATCTCAGGGAGAACCTACTTTTCACCATAAAATCTTTCAAAGAAAGCCTCCTTCCACAGCTCAACTTTCTTTTCCTTCTCCACTTCTTGACGCATCCGTAGCTGCAGCTCTGGTGTGAATTCGCCTATAAAACAAACAAAAATTTTTTTATAATAATAAAAAAAACAAACCATAATTATGGTACTCTATCTTTATCCTAATGAACTGGAGTATCTTCAAATGTCATGCAAATTCTGTTGTTATCAGCAAGAGGTAATTGCACCGACCTTCAGCTAGCCTCTCCTTCCAGGCTTGTGCTGCTGACGTGAAAAACTCATTATTTAAGGCAGAGCTTGTGACCTTGAGGAGGCCGTCCATGCAGGCCTGGGCAAAACAACAACAACACAGTTTTATGACTAATATTGTCAAACTTACTTATATACAGTCATTAAATACAGACGTATTAATACACATTTTATATATTTTCTATTAAAAGGTGTTTATTTAGATACGGAACATTTAAAGATTTTTTTTAGTTCTACTCTTCTATTATATAGTAAGTGTAGTGATTATAATTTTGGAGCCACCTGCCGGTCAACTTCGGGCAGGAGTTTCAACAGCCTCTGCTGGCAATCTGAGGGCAGGACGGAGAAGGTGTGCTTGTTGATGATCGCCCGCAGGTTAGTGTTGACTAAAATGGAGTCTGGAGTCTCCACATCTATGTTACACCTGGTGCGTTTGATTTGCCCTGTAGTGGAAAACAAAGAAATGACGAAGTAAGTGGAGACCAGTTCAAAAATAGTTACACTGAGGGCAACTGGACGGAGCAGGTTTCTTAAGGACGTATCACCTCTCATCCAAGAGGCTTCTTCAGATCAGCAGTGCCTAAAACATTTCTCACTCCTGCTGCTGACACGATGACTAATAATGATAAATGTATGCATTTTTACCTCATTCACATTCAGGTTACAGCAAATTTAATTTGTTAGGACTCAAACTAATTTAGAAATTGATGCCTGCAGCTATAATCTATTAAAAGTTGGAGCAGAGAGCACAGTGTCTGTTGGAAACTGACGATACAAGAAGACTTTTTGCAGCGTGTGGTCACCATTGATTCTCTTTTACACGACATGTAGGACATTTTAATACAAGATACATCATATGTCAAACACATGCAAACCAAAGTTGTTAATGCACACTATAAATGCATGTTGTTGCTTTAACTTGAATATCCTGTCAATTAAAATCCCTAGTATTTATCCAATCTAAACTGTCCTGGTGAAAACTCTGCAACTCTAGAGGGAAAAAGCTCAAAAACTCAACAAAACCATGTCCTTAAAACTTCACCATACATTTCTGCATCAAGGTTACCTTCACATGTGGCTAAAACAACATTCACTCCTGATGAACCCAATACCATCACAGACACTGGAACCAAGCTGTCACTCAGACAGCACACTTCACTGCTCTGTTGCTGTCCCTGTTTGTATCCTCCATTCACCTCGTGTTCTATTTTACTCATCAAACTTCCCTATTAGCCTATTTATTCTAATATACCAATATATACCTCTGTAAGAAAGTAATAGAAACAATTGTGTATCTCCACTTTCTAATCACACCAAGTAGACATCTGATGTACCTGCACGAATGCGACTTGTCCTCTGGGAAACCTTCCTGGGTATGACTGTGTGGCACAAATCTGTAATGGAGATGACGAGAAGAAAAAAAACCCACCTGAATTAATTCACAAGAGATTTTTGATCTTTAGTTACTACATGGAGGTGGCAAAGTTACATTTTTTAACAGAGAGGTGTCGTTCAAATTCAGAATGCTTAGTAAATAATGACTGACATCTTAGGTTTGAGTGAAACCATCAAATGAATAATAATGACATACAAGGTGATGATGCTGAAACCCACCAGTCTTTGTTGTAATGTTTTCTGCCATGTCTTTGATGGACTTGAGAAGCAGCCTGGGACTGGAGGTTGTTGGCATCCCTCCCTGTCTGCGTTGGTTTCTCTGCTGCTGCTGCTTCAAGGCCTTCAGAAGAAAACAGCTGAACATGAAAAAGCGTGAATTTCTGTCTCGCTACAGCTGCGGCAGCTACTCATGGTTCAATAGCCGCACAGAAAGAACATGTATGTTACATAACATGAGCACGAATCATCGTTGTACAGAATGTTGTTTTTACACGAACAGCCAGCGTCGAGTGTTACCCACCTACACATTTTCAATGAATGCGAGTTGTTTTTACACCGTTGAATATCTACAGCAGCAACGATGGTGTGCATTACAATGTTTGGCATCAAGTGGAATCCAATTAAATAAAACCACAGAGTAGGTGTGATGGAGGGCAGAGTCCATCAGTAAAATATGTAAGGCAAGGCTTAGCATAATAATCCAGGATTAGAGGACAACTTTTGATCCTAACAAATGCTTGAGAGCCCACTGCTCCTCCTTTGAAGACTGAAGATTTAAGTGACATATCAATGTATGTAACGCATATATTTAATATGTATTTAACAACTGCCTTTGATCTTTTTAGGTCAAGGAATAAACAAACCTGTGCAATGGCAAATGAATTAGCCAAGAAAAAGATTTAAAGAAAAAACTGCAAAAAAAAAAAAACAAATAGGAAACAATCTTGAAAACAAAAAGTGGTTACAGCTAGAGGGTATAAAACAAAAAAATATAGAACATTAATACAAAAAATATATATATAAAACGTTTTACAAGTTAGCAAGTAAGCCAACAACATTGGCACAAAAATAATTGAAAGGAAGCAAAAATATAGTGAAAATAGCTACATCTTAATCAAGGAAAAAGATTCTCAATAACAAATAACAAATACAAATAACTGTATTAGTAAAATTAGTAAAAATATTGCTTATCTTGCAGGTCATTCAATAAAAATTTGGGCCTCATTAAAAAAACTTTTATCAGCTAAAAGTTGCCCAGAAGTAAGTTTGGACAGGCTTTAAATGGATATTAAGCATACATGTAAGAGAAGTTATAAATACAATAAATTATAAATAAAAAAAAGTATTATATAGTATTATGTAGGTATTATTACAAAATATGTATAACAGAGTAAAAAAACAATTTTATTTAACCAGATACCCTTGGCTGGTACTTCCTAAAAAATGTACACAAGTAGAAGGGTGGGGCAAAAACTCAACATCTGATACCGTACGTGTCCTCATTGAGGGCTGTTTGTATAGAAATGTATAGAAAATAGGTAACAATACTTCATACTGAAACAGAAATAAATGCAGAGGCTGCTTTTCTTCCATTACCTGTTTCAAAGCTTTCTTGCTGTGTTTCTGCGAAGGGGAGATAAGTTTACTGGTGGGAACAGACGGAGACGAACATCGAGGCTGAGGAGACGACGGCTGTGACTGCAGCTTGGAGGGAACTATGAAATACAAAGGCAGACACACACACACACACACACACACAGAGACTTGTTACAGTATACACTTCCTGAGGGGAGTGGGCAGACTTTTACCTTGTAATGCTTTTTGTTTCGTTGAAACTGAAACCGACACGGTTCACAAAGACGTGGAGTCCATTACAGAGCTAAAATATCACTTGACTAAAGCTCTAAATGGAATGATGGAAACAGAACCATCATCTCCGACCGTGCAGCTTATGTTTAAAATGCATCTTTCATCTGCGTCACCTTCCACAGGCTTACCACTCGTCGTTTTGTCGATGCCACCTCACTGCATTTGACTTAGAGGCTCCTTTTCTATTGATCACTTCAAAAAACAAAAAACACTGGGGCCCTCCCACTCCTGCTCTGGCAGTTTCTCACTTGTGTGTATTGAGGAAGTGTCACACTGAGAGAAAAAAACAACACAGTTTCCTGTTTTAGCAGTTACTTTAGGAGTTTACACTCGCCGATCTCTGTACGTAGGTAAAGCAGGGTGGCAGCTGAACAGTAACTCTAACTTTTATTCTACCATCATTGTATGTGGCCCACCAGGGCTATTATGCACGTGAGTGTCAAAATACATTTTGATGTACATTTACATTTGTTTACCAAAACTCCATATATAACCAATTCATCTCCTTGATGTACGTTGATTTTGTGACCAGCAAAATCAATGTACGATGCAATGATGCTTAATAAATGTTAACCCTGTTTGACCCCCATGTAGACTGCATTTTAAATTTCGGCCTCCTGCATGATTGAGTTTGACATCCCTGCTCTGACGTGTCTCAACCTGCTGGTCCGTACTTGGTTTGTCACCCACTTCTCCTCCTTGTTGCTAATTTTCTCTCATTACAATACAAACAGCAGAAATGTTACATTCCTAATTATGTTTCCTAATCTCTGGCTAACAGTAACGTTGATGTACATACTCGAGCCTGTAGGTGGCAGCAATGCACCTAAAGTTCATTGGCCTGTCCCCCAAAAAAATAAACAAGACGTGTAATATCAGGGCATTATAAAATATTGATGGAAGACGAGAGCACAGTTTTTTTTTTGAGAGTATCACCTCAATAAAAAACGTGTTGCTGTGTCCAGAGTCGCTAGAGCTAACGTTGGCTACAACAATCCTACTGCAGAAAAACGATGTAGCCAGCCAACAATAGACCAGATGACAGGATTCAGAGTGAAAAATTCAGTGTGAGTATTTGCAACCCACACAGGCTGCCACAGGTGGCGCTATTAAGTATGTGGTTCTTCTGGGTATCTAACCCAAGACCATCTGTGTGTAAGGCAGATGTGTAAGCAGGTGTAATAACCACTACAGTACAGACCCTCTATGTCTACGCATTAATCAAGTCATCAACAAAATTAATTTAAATTTAAAAACTTTGTTCTCAGTGACAGATGTTGCTGCTTGGTAAAAATGGGTTTCAACGCAATAAATCATTACAAATCCTTTAATTCACTATGTGAAATGTTTTGATCATATCCAACCACCAGACTACAGTTCTCCTACAATTGTGTCCTGGCATTGATAGAAAAACATGAAAAACTCAGTGGTGATAAATGATAATGTGGAATAAAAACAACATGGCACTCGATACCTCTGCGTATCCACCTCCCTCTCCTGCCCTCCTGAGTGATTGAACTGTTGCTGATTTCTGTGTTACGGGAGTCTGAGAGATTGTCATTGCTCTCCTCAGAGCCCTCCTCTGACAGCTCCTTCACATCGTCTGAGATGTCCTTCTGTAGTTTAAACAAATGTCTGTTATTCTTATACAGCAGGAAAGCAAAGAGAGTTCATGTCGTGACACCCGACTCATCCTTCGTTGCCTATCGTAGCTATTAAACTAGCATTTCATTTGACTGACCTTTAACGTGTAGACTCCCATTCGGCCCGGGACTTTGTAGAAGATCCCCTCGTCTCCTCTAGAGTTTGTGTGCAGCATTGCGTTTAGACATGCCAGCGGTGAAGTTCCACTGGATCGTGAGAGAAAAATGCAAATTACACATCTGTTTCTCAGAAAATGAGAGGTGCTGGGAGAGACAGAGTGAGGGGGGGGGGAGAGAGAGAGAGAGAGAGAGAGGTGCAAAAGCTGGTCTTATATCAATCCAGGTAGAGTTCGCTACCATGCATCTGGAGGGACACGTGTGTGGTCAGTTCAGACTCTGATCAGATTTGCTCTAAGGTTAGCAATGGTACTTTTAGCTCAAAGCTAATACAGTTAACTTTGACTGATTTTTGACTTTTGTAACATTCATCTGTTTAAGGATAACATTTATCTTTATCTCTATTTATAATTACTTTTTTGTTTGATAATTGATATTTTTTATTTAATCTAAGTCAGCTTTTGGACACTAATGTTTATTTAAATCATTTTTCTACCCTTTTATGGTATGGTTCTGAAGTTTGTTTTTCTTTTTTGTGCATTTTTTTGCCCAAAAGAGATGTATTCAATTATATTATAAATTTTGTTTTGTACGAGGTCTGTTAATTTTGAGAAATGAACACTAAATCTTTTTTTAATGCAAAAGGTGACTGCAGGCCATCTACTTTATGTTGCAGCCTTAGTGTTAGGCACCGTCTCTGTGCAACTGGAGGTAGTACATGTTATTGTTAATAACATGCGGAGGTTTAAACCAAACAGGGAGGCAGTGCAGGGAGTTGGTTAAGGATGGGGGGCTAAGGCTGGGGGTTTTCTTACCTTCTGGACGAGAACAGTGACAGTAGAACAAAAAGAGATGAAACAATTAATGGTATTAAAATAATTGCAACCGAGTGAATCAGAGAAAGAAAAGTACATGATATGAACAACTGTGGATGAATGCTTTGGTGTAGAAGGACAAATGCTGAAGACAATAAAGAATAAAGTGCTTAGAATATTTACCTTATTTCTTTAAGTCGTTCTTTTTGTATCACCTGCAGGATTTCTTTATGGCTCATTGGTGTGTTTGGGTATTTTTCCAAAACCTTTAATCCAAAAACAGGACAGTTGTCAACTTAAGACCAATCACACAAAGGTCAGAATCCACAAACCCACAATCACATGCATCCCGCAATTTCTATGAGGTAAGAGTAAGAAATGTAACTGTACACAACTGCATCCATTGTGGGGTGAGCGTTAGCAAAGATAACACATGAAACAAGAAGTCATGAAGTGCTGGAGGTTTTAAACCTCTCCACTCTGGGACCCATTTATGGAGAGCCTGGAGTTTTCTCCCCCCAAAACCATAAATGGAATTAAAAAATGGAATTGTAAATTAACCACCATGCATATGGATGGAATTCGACCACTGCATTTAACCCATTTAGTAAACATTGGGGTAGACTCTCTACTACAGACTATCATGTTAAGACACGTATACTCTAAGCTAAGCTAATTAAAAAGATGAGGTGAGTTAGATTTGGTAGACATGAGTTCGGCATACTGTATGTGTCTAGTCGGATTGCTTATTGCTAATTGACTTATTTAAAGGTATTTGTGCTAATAAATGAAAGAGGAACAAATAAGAGAGGTCCATTACGTATATAGCCAGCTATATTTTAGCCCTACGAAGAATTCACTTTTACATGACTTTGTCATAGGATGCTGCCTACCTTTGGGCAGCAAGCAGTCTGTCCAAATTAGGGCTCAACAGCTCCAATGTAATATTAGTTTTAGATCCCTGTGACACAGCCTTTCTGGAATACAGGACATGCTGCTACCAATAATTAAGACCACAAATCCTTTGCCAACATTGTAGGCCTTTGACTGCAAGACATGATGGTATTACATGAGTCTTTGGTCTGAAATGACAGGTGGTTAACCACTGAGATATAATCTCTACATGAGGCTGGAGTACTGTGAGCCTTGGAGAGACTATGTGCTGTGATTGTGGGATGCAACATGATCCCAGTAAATGCATCACTGACACACTGCCTTTGTTTTTGTGGCACATACTGTATGAGTGTACAAGACCCATAATGTGGTGTGTAGAACATCAACAAAAAACAAGAACTGAGGAACGGATGCAACAACTAAATAGAATACTGATATTTACACAGCCTAACCATAAGGACCAACCGTCTAATGAATAACATTTAACTTCTTCAATACATTTTGGTAATTGACTTGTCCTAGAACACTAGATTACCTTCTTACTTTTACTTATGTATTTTAATTAATTCTGTTCTGGTTCATTTTCCAGTTGATGATAGTAACTGAATGTTATGGTAAGTGGACAAAAACACGCTACAAAATATGATGCCAGGTGTACTTCTAAATTCAAAAAAGGATTGTAAAGCTGGTGAATATACTTTGTGTTAATATTTTTGCTGTGGTTGAAAAAATTGGACGTACTCTAACACAATGTAAAAGGTGGCTAAAATTGTAATTGGACTTCAAACAGCAAAAATACTGTCAAATTGGCAATGCCTCAACTTCTGACAGTTTTGACACATTGGAACATTAGCATGCTAGGCTAATTTGCTAGCTGTGATAACCAACAACTTCTATTTCTGCATTTTAATTAACGTTCGCGTGTCGTTTATCTGTCAACCCTGGTAACTTTTATGTTTCACTCGTTAAAACACGTGGACTTCAAGTGTACAGTGTGCAATAAATTATAGTCGCAAACAAACTTGTTGACGGAGTTCGGCTTAGCATTAGCTCATTAGCATTGTTGCTAATGATGGCTTACGCAAGGCACAGACTTCAGTCAGGGACACTTTCCTTGACTTTACACCGGTGACACACGAGCCACCTGCTCCATGCAGTCATAACAACTCGTTGGAGGGGAGTGGGAACATGTTTTCTCTGGATAACTTTACTTGTGACGGTAACATTATTTCACGTGAAAGCAGTTCTCTACTGTCAAAACAGGCCTCGGTCTCATCGGTGTAACGGAACATTTCGTCGTTAGCCTGCGGGTCATGAACTCATCCACAGTTGTTACAAGTGGGAGCGTACAAGAAAAAAAAACAACCACAACAAACGGAGCAGTAGTAAACACAGTCAGGGAGAGACAGAGTACCGTCTTTGCGGCTTCCGCCCACGTCCTCCCCTTCTTCTTCTTCTGCCTCTCCCTCATCGCGGATGTCGGGTTGCGGGATATCCGCGTCGACTCGGTGCTGTTTTCGCCTGAAATGTTGCTTTAGTTACCGCGTAAGATCCACTCTGTCTGCCATGTTGGATTTACTGTAATCAGTCACATGACCTCGGGAAGAAACGTCATCTTACTGTATGGAGCTGTCATCTCCAACTTTTAAACATTTTTTTGACAAACTTAATTATATGTATTGATCCTAAATTAATCTAAATGGAACAATACACTCTTCAACTGTGACCTTAATGCTGAGAGGTGGATTTCAAATAATAAAAACAGAAGATGGGTTTGGGTTCATTTAGGTCTTTTTAATTTGAGTAAGCAAATGGATTTGCACAATTTCCCAACAATGAAAAAATAAGGCAGCAGATCAAAAGAGCACTGCAAGCTTTCTTTACACTTTTTTTGGCTCAAAATTATGTTAGCTTCAAGCATTCAAACATATAAGCAAATCAGCTTTATAAGCAGAGTCTGGATCCTCATCTTCGGCATCATACTCTAACAGTAACCTCCCTGTCTTTGGAAGAAAGAAAAAGGTTTATTTCAAAAAACCTTTGCATAATTAAAGTTCAGTGTGTAACATTTGGGTTGTTAAATGGTTAGTTTTGGAATGTTCTATGTGTGTAGGTGCTTTGAGAGAAATAAATGTTTATGATGCATAAGAAAATGCCTTTTGGTATTTTACAGAATGTGTCTTTGTTTATGCCAAATCACACAGGAAAAGCAAGCAGCACAACATACAGCACAGACAACCCTGATGATTGATTTGTGATATTAAAGATAACTTAAAAGACATTTAAGCCATACCTGTGCTATTTGGTTGTACCAATGTAAGCCAACAGATATGATGTGGTTCAGTAAGCATAAATACAGAAAACAGGAAAAGACCAGTTTACAGATTATCCACTCCATTCGGTTGACAGGCATCTTTGGAAATCAATGAAGGATGTTCCTCTTTGCAGCAAAGTGATGACATGCACTCAGCCTGGAGTATGTTGGAGCTACCATACACAGGTGAATGGACACATGTTAAGGGCTGGTGTCAGCTGGATCCTCAAGAGGAAGATAGGAAGCAGAAGAAGGTCTCCGTCTGCGCGACGGAGAGAAGCTCTGAGATGCTGATGTCGGCATTGTGGAGGAAAATGATGATGATGATGATGCTTGTGCAGAATTCCACCTGTAGACCACAGTAAAACATCATATAGAGTTGACAGGCTGTATGTAGATGTATGCTCACAAAGGCAGCTGCAAACATGAGAAAATAAAAAGACTGTATTTCTTACCAGGACTGTGATTTCCTCACCCGCGGGTACGATGTGCTTCTCTCTCTAACCGGAACATTCAGAATATGCTGGATCAGCCTTGGGGAGAAGGCCCTCTCCAGGTGAGCTCCATTAGGGTTCAAATGAAACATGGTGGGTGGAGACATGTCCAACTCCAACAGCATGATATTTTCAGCCTGTAAGAACAGATTTGAAAAAAAAAAAATTCCATCCTTTACCTGGTTTCCTGCTATTCCACAATTAAATGTGTTTTTAAACATTTCATCACATAGGTTTAAGATTATGAAAAGTTAGCAAAGATTAGGCCTAGCATAATAAATTAGTCAAAAAAGCAGCAGAATAAGCTAAAATGTGTTAAAACAGACATCAAAATATGTCAAACAATACGATTTATTTTACTGTATATGTGAATTTAAAATAATTATCATAAAAAATAACAAAAAGCAAAGGGAGCAATAGTCAAAAGGTAAGACACAAATAGTCACCATGCAATGACAGAATCAGAATATAAATAGGAAGAATATAGGAACGTAAGAGCCAAGTAGATAATACATTTATTGGCTGTTACAGGTTAGCCAGAATCACAGGGAAAAAGTAAAAGTAAGCCAAAATGATAGCTAAATGTTGACCTGCAAATTGCAAACATTTTTAAAAAATGTTTTATCTTGGTAAAACAATTAAGAACCTGCCTTGGTGATGATGCAAAATGGCCTTCAATTTCAATACATGAGGACAGAAAAACCCCAACAGCAATAGTAGAAGCAGTGGTAGAAAAATAAAATCCCATCCCTGGTCTTAATAAAGGCATTTTTGAACTACACATTAAAACACTGTTGATGTACAGTAGATCACTGGCATAAATGGCAGCATGGTGAGTTGGATGGTTGTCATGGCGACACAGTTTTTCTAACACTTTATAAGAACACTGACCTGGTATCTGAATGGAGCCCCTGTAGCAGTGACAACAGCCATCTGTGCATATTGGCTGATTGGCCTCTTGTATCCCACAGCAGAGAGAGGACGTTTCTTTACCCGAGTGGATGCACTGAAAAATATACAGTACATAGGTGTGAAAGGTGTGGCTACGTCAGCTTTTTTATGTGAGGTGCATGTACGTAAAAAGTCGCTGAAAAGACGCAATCATGCAGATTTATTTACAGATTCCACGTTAAACACTGTACTGTACTGGCCATCTAGGTTAAAATAATCATATTGGACTTTTGAAAAACTTAAACAATAACAATATTAATATCAATAATTTTGAATTGTATTCCCTTTTCTCGACTCTTTACACCAGGATAGAAAAAATAAAGGTAAAAGACTAGTTATCTCAGCTAGTGTTATTATAGGCATAGCTTTAGTGTCCTCTTCTGGTCAGATCCTGTCATAACAACAACTTTTCAAAGTTTCATTAAAGAAATGTAAAATATGACTAAATCACATACATTTAACATCAAAGTACATTTCTAATTTCTAAATCTGTTTCTGATTGGATGTTTAAAAATAAACTAAGTCTTTTGCAATAAAACAATTTGAGTTAAACAATTTAAACAAGCATTCTGAATGCATTGTGGCTTTGTGTAATTAGTATTGCAATAATAATTATAGATTTATACAACATAATAATAGTTATAATTATTGGGAGGAGTTGTTGTTTGATGAAATGCCTACACTCTAGCATTTCCAGTGTCTTCGGTGTAAAAACGAACCCACTGACCTCTCTGATGGTAGGACAGGCTGCAGCTTCCACTGATCCTCCTCGCTGTCAAAGTACAGTCTGTTCATAATCTTGTTTTTTTCCTCAGGAGGAATAAAATTCTCAATCAAGAGATATCTGCAAGAGTTCAGACAAACGTGTGTCATTTAAGAGGAGACAAAGAGATTGAAAAACGACAAATTATCATCAAGGATTTCGTCTTTTGCACACACACGCAGACATTACAGTGACATCGTGCTGCAGTGTCGTGTGTGCGACACTCACTTGAACTTCAGTTCTCTGGTGAGCTCATTCTGCGTCTGCTCAAGCTCCTGTCTGGTGGTGATGTGTTCATCCATGACATCTCTCATCTCTGCCTTCACCAGCTGCAGTTTGGCAAAAATCTGTAAACAGCAGGACAGGACTTCAGACCTTTAACAGTGCCGTCACTTAATGTGTAGTCAAGTGAAGATGACGTGAGACTACGGTGTATATCAGCTGGAATGGAAAGTGGCAGACCTTTCACTGATACAGGCTAAATTCATTTTAATGTCCACCAGAAGGCAAGGAATTTAATTATTGTTGTACAGCAAATCAGGACGCACGAGGCCTGTCCACTATAACCTGTTTCAGGGGTGTTTGGATCCATGTTACTAACTTAATTCCAGGCTAATCTTTAGGATTTTTTTTCTGGCTATTTTAGTCTCTTTTTGCTCTGTTATGCTAATAATCAACCCTTTTGACAAGCTAGAGACATCTAGACATTTGTTTGAGTAAATACGTATATATAGATATCTTTGTGTTAGCTATTGGGGTAGTTCTGGTGTACTTTTAGATAACCTTTAGCTATTTTAAGTCAACTGTTAAATATTTACCAACTAAACTTTTTGTTAACAAAAGTTTCTTGTTTTTTCATTGACTTTTTTAATTGTCTTTTGGTTATTTTTTTAATTATTTTGGTACACTTATAAAGGATATATTTGCAAAAATTTATAAGTAGATGCCTACCTTTGCTTTGCTGATACTATTGCAAAAGTAGCTGCCTACCTTTGCTTTGCTGATACTATTAGCTATTTTGTTTAAAAAAGTTGGCTAAATTTAAATAATAATTCTGTCTGAATTTAAATTAATAGACTTTTAGCTAACTTTTAGTAATTGTTTCCCAATTTCTTGCTACTACTTTTAGGCTAACATATGACTAATTTGCTCTTCTTTTGGTCAAAATACATGAAAACCTTCCTGCAGTCTTCAATCTTTCAGTATGTATTTTGATAGGATCCTGAAACCAGAATCATGATCATATAAAACACATTTTCAAAGAAATTTACAAAATGTGTAAATGGCTGATTTTTAAAAAAAATCATACAAAGAAGCTTCACTTTCTTTATCTTACCCTCCTCAGCTTCTTTGTCTTCAATTCCACCTCCTGCTGCATGGTGGAGAACGTTTCTCTCATTTCTAAGGTCTCCTCATCCTGCAGCATCATCTGCTGCTGGATCTCTCGTTCTCGTCTTATCTGCAAACCACATTTAAACAAATCAGCGAAGTCACAAAATAACTCCGTGAATCCACAATCTAACGTTCCTGTAGAATAACGTGATAATAATCCATGGAGGACCTGTTCTGAAATCTCCTGCCTCTTCTGCTCCAGCATCTTCTGTTGTTCATTGGTGTGATCAATTATAGTCTTTCCTCCCACCAACAATTTGCTCTCCATGGTCTGAGAACAAAGACACATTAATAATTCATTTAATTTGAATTAGCATATAACGCTGTTATAGCGAATATTCACCACCAGTACCTGATACTTTTCTATGATCTTCTCCAAAGCCTCCTGATCCCACTGTAAGTCTCCGAGACTTCGTCTGTGCTCATGCAGCGGCTTCAACCTTTCACCACTTCCAGGGCAGATTAAACTCTTGGGCCTGTCATTATGATGTTTCTCCATTGTTTTATCCTTCCAAACCTCCTCATCCATTTCCTTAAGGATGTCGTCCTCCATCCCAGCCATATTCTTACTCAGTCTTCTACTGTTCCTTCTCATCCTCCTCTCCTTTGCGAGCATCCCTTGTCTCTCCAGCTGCGCCTTCAGACGTGCAATCTCCTCCTGAAACTCCCTCAGCAGAGCGTCTTTGGGGTCCTCGTTGATGCGAGGCTTGTTCTTGATGTTCTTGGCCCTGCTGGCGTACCTGAGTGTGGCCAGGGATTCATCAAAACATTTGTGCGAAGGCCCCACTGTGGCGATCATAACCGTCTTTGCGTTTCCCCCCAGTGAGTCTTGAAGCAGGCGGGTCAGTTTGGAGTCTCTGTACGGAATGTGGCTGCTCTTGCCGTCCACCAGCGCTGAAATGACGTTACCTAACGCTGACAGAGACAGGTTGATTTTTGCTGCTTCCTTCAGTCGCTTTCCTTTGGCCCCAGACTTGCTCTGACGCTCACTCCCTGCCAGATCAACCATGTTCAGCTTTCCAACCCGGATGTGGTCCTCACCGTCTGGCCCCACCTCACTGCACTCCACGGTGACGACAAAGATGGCATGAGATCTGGAGCTGCGCTCGTTGATGTTGGTGAACCCCACAGACCTGGACTGGTTTCCCATGTTCATGACATGCTCAATCTCTGTGGCGTTCTTGGTCACGACAGCGGATAAGTCCTTGACGTAGACCCCGAACTCTGGATTCTCTTTGAGCTCCAGCTTTCTGTTGTTGTCCTTGCACAGCAGATCCCTAATCTCCTCCTGGTAGATCTCCAGATAGGAGGACCGCACCAGGAATTTCTGATTCTGAGTCCTGGAGATCTGAGTGAAAATGTGCTGAAATGAGTTGGGTATAACCCCTCTCCGTTCCACGTCGTTGGAGACCCCCTGCATGGTGTGCGTTTTACCTGTCCCACTCTGTCCATAGGCAAAAATGGTTCCATTGAATCCCTGCACCACCGACTCCACAATAGGTCTCACCGCATCATCATAAATGTCCCTCTGCTTGGACTCAATGCCGTAGACAGAATCAAACGTGAAAACCTTCATGGGTTCCTCAGGTGGAGCCCTTGGTTTCCTGATGGTGATCTGGCCCAGTTTCTCGTCCACATCCAGGATGTTTTCACACCCTGAGAGCTCCTCTCTCCTGCTGAGCGGCCGACAGCGGACCACCACCCTCAACGACTCACTCTGTTTGGTCTTAGACATTTCCTTAGCTCAGAAATAATAAATTCAAAGAGTAAACATGTGTACGTCACAACAACACATAGCCATCATCTCTGAGGGGCGATGGCCGCAGTTTTGCCTTCTCTCCTCCACACAGGTGGCGATAAACAGACAGTCAGACAAACGGACACACCTCATGTGAGAATCCGATCAGCGAAACTATCCTCATCATCTTCGTCCTCCGCACGCAGCATCTTTACCAAAGATGACAGAAAACGATGACAGAAGGCTGAGAATGTTGACAAGTGATGCTGATGCTGCCGGAAAAAACTGCCGCCCAACCCACGCTCGTTCTCCCACTGTTCACACCCTGCTCTGCGGACAATGAACACAGACATGTGACCTGCTCAGCGACAGAGGATTGGAGCAGAAAACCACAGTCACGCTCCGATTCTGTTATATTGATTTATTACCCTCAGACTAAATTAAACAATGCCATCAAGTTAAACCATCAACTGTTTTATTACATAAGGTGCTGTGGTTTCATATTCACACTCTGAAATCAACAAGAAAATAAACATCATTAAAAAATAATGTCTTTATTTTTGATGTCTTTTAAACAGGCCCACTATTTTTGATATACAAAGGCAAAAGATAGACGTTAAAGGGCTAAACAATCACACATTAGCTCAAATAACTAGAAGTACTTATTTGAGCTAATGTGATTAAGCTAAAAAAAGGGCAACGATTGCCGAAAACTCGAAAACATTACATAATTTATAGACGTTAGCCATAAATTTAGCATATCAACATAATAGTGGTTACAATTTTGACAATAACAACATACATCGGAAATTTAGCATGTTTAACGAAATGAACTTAGCCTATCTTTAGTAGCAAAATATGTAATTCACTACTGTTATAATGTAAACAGAGAATAAAAAACTCTCAAAGTTAGCCAAAAACTATTGATAAGAAAAACTAAATCAGATTTAAAATGAATCAAGAAAACTTCTAAAAGGTGATGAGCCTGTTTCGTCTAAAATTAAAATAGCTCAAATGTAGCCAAATAGCTTTACTCGAGCTAAAAGTCGATTCAATGGTAAATACATACTATTGCCAAAAATATCCATCTATCTACGTATCTAATGAAATAACTGGAAAATCATCCAACAACTTTTTTAGTTCAATAACTAAAAAACTTTATTTAAGCTTACATCATTTACATCACCGCTCATACAGGCCAGAAAATCTTTTAATGTACACAAACAGACACTTGCTGGAGCGGACAGGCTGACATTCATCGATAACATGTCAAAGTTGGAAAATATTTTCAACGTTTCTGCCCTTTTAGTGTCTCAACACAAGTGGTGTGTAAATAATAAGGCATTATATTCTTCCCACTCTATACATGATTTAGTCAATCAATAATTTTAATAGTACAAAACCACAGAAATTATACACAGCTGCCAGTTTATTAGATACACATAGCATGAGCATACCATGAACTGACATACTGTAGATACCACTGTACTCATTTGATAGAATCGATTTTTAGTTAGTTATTTAAGTGCAGAACATCAGGTAGTAATACCAAGTGTACCTAATAAACTGGTCCCTGGTTACAGTTTCAGAATGTTTTTTTTTTTCCACTCGTGAAGGTGAAAGTTCTAATCTGGAACTAAGGGCGCTCTTGGTAAATGTGTCACTGATGAAATTTCTTGCTGGGGTTGTTGGCGTGATCGAGTAAGAGTTGGCAAGGAGTGAAATGATTTCCGTAAACGGCCTCGTATCTTCTCATCTTCTCCACCAGCTTGTCGGCACCAAAGTTGTCCACAAATCGGAAAGGTCCTTGAAGAAGAATTTGAATTAGAAAAGACTGATAAAAGTGTTTCAGGACATTCAACACTATGTTAACAAAAGTTAAGGAGGGTTGAAATTTAAATAACAATATCAGGAAAAAATGAATTGAATTCTGACCTCCAAGACATGGTGGGAATCCTAGCCCAAACACAGCACCAATGTCTCCTTCCAAAGGACTGTTCAAAATACCCTCTTGTAGACACATCACGGCCTCATTGACGAAACGAGAAACAAGCCTGTACTGGACGTCTGAGTCTGAAGAACTGTGTAATATACAATGACAAGTTATTTGTACTTTAACATCATAATGAAAAAATGACAAGTCAGTTGGCCAGTTTCACAACTTATTTGTACTTTAACATCATAATGAAATGAATAAAACAAATCTATCTCACTTCTATCAAAAAATGAAATTCTTTCAATAACGATTAGCTTAATAAACTTACACAGCAGGGTTTGGTGACATTCTATATTTCTGAAGGACTTCATCAATTTCTCTGTTGACCTCTTTGCGTTTCAGTCCAGGCTGGTAGACGTAGCAGCCCTTTCCTGATTTGCGTCCTTTACAGAAAAACAAGCAAGCGTTAAATGATCAAATTCAGAAGTATGTCTGTAATAGTCAAGCACTGTAAAGGCCCTACCCTTGAATCCTAGGTCAACCATTGTCTTCAGAACTTCTACATTTCCACCTCCAAAGCGAGAACCAAAGGCTTTGCCGAGATCTTCTGCCACGTGGGCAGCCACGTCGATGCCGACCTCGTCAGCCAGCGTGGCTGCACCTACAGGGAACCCGAAGCTTGTGGTGAGTCCGTCCAACTTCTTTGGGTCAACTCCTTCCTGTGAATGTAAATAATGAACGTGTCAGTACTGGCCTGAGGGGGGTTTCAGAAACTATTAAAGTAAAGCTTGCAGTTTGATTGGTTAAAACTATTGCATTTCATTTCACTAATAAAAAACCCCCAGATGGAAACACTGCAGTGTTTTAAACAAATACTCAAAGCTTTGGGCTTTTATCACATGTGGTAAAAGGTCCTAGATTAACAACAGTGTGTTGAGCCACTACAGACTAGTACTACAAACCTGAAGTACTCGCACAGCTTCAGCCAACATTGGAGCCAAACACCTTGTGGTGTAGAAACCAGGACCATCCTGTAACACAATCATTTAAAAGTTACTGCAATTCAGTTGAAACTCACTAAAATTTTTTTAATTTATTCTAAGTATCAAAATATAAAAAATATTTCATCTTTTTCCACTAGAGCCCACAAACAACTGCTGCAGTAGCAATGATAAGGTTCACTCATTCACACTTAGTTTAACACATGAAAAACATGTCTTTCACCAGGGTTCTTCCAGCTCAGCTCAGCATTAATGTAGAAATGAAGTCCGGTGGAACACAGCGTTTTCCTGTTTACTTGGGCTGACAGTCAAAATGCTGTATCAGCACCTTTTTTAGCACAGGTTCATGATGTCAGCCATTCACAGAGCAAATCCTTATTTAGTAGGTTTATCTAGGTTCAAAACCTGCATATATTTGCTATTTTAGGGGAGACAGCAAACTCACTCACCCCGACCACGATGATGACTTTGCCCTGCTTCAGACCCACAGCCACAGCAGAAGCTATGGTGTCCTTTGACGTCTGCTCAGTGCTAATAATCTCCAGGAGCTGCATCTTGTCGACTGGAGAGAAGTAGTGCATTCCTATCACCTGAGGACACACCAGCGACATTCAGCATCATTTCACATTTAATTTTAATACATTCAAGTGATGCTTTATTAATTAACAAGGCTGTGGGGGGGGGAGTACGAACCTTGTCTGGCCTCTTGCTGGCAGCAGCAATTTCCTTGATTGGCAGTGCGGATGTGTTCGTGGCAAATATACAGTGAGGGGGAACGACCTGTGGGGAATTTTTATTTTTTAATTTTTAAAGAAGTAACGGTGTAAAACTTCTAAGGGTTAATGATCCATGTAACCAGATGGTGCTGTTCTTCACACTTACAGCCTCCACCTCCTTCAGAACGGCATGTTTGATTTTAATGTCCTCAAACACAGCTTCAATGACCATGTCGGCTTTTTCGAAGCCTTTATAATCCAGTTGACCCGTCAAGTTGGACAGAATGGAGTCCCTCTGAAACGACGTAATGTTCTTTTTCTTGGTCTTGTCATTCAGCCTGGGAGCGCAAAAAGAGTGAAAAGGATGGTCAACATTTACAAAAAATATTACAGTTGTCACTTTGTTACAAGTTAGCAGACGTTCTCTGCTAATTTTGAACGTTCACATTTGAGGGGTAGTTCCAGTACTCCTCAGACTGTTTGACATAATAACAGTGTGGTCCAGAAGGGGGTGCTCTAAGCCTAGGCTTGGTTTCTCTCTTGGTCAATCAGTGAAAAACAACAAACATTTAATTAGTCTTCTGTTATTAAATGTATACATTAAGGATTTTTATAACCAATATCAAAGATGTGTTTTTTAGTTTTTAAGCCATTCTCTGTAAAAGTATTCTTAACTGTTCAGAAAACTCCAAGTAGATCTTCTACCAGCAGCCTGTGTTGTACCAACAAACATGTCAATAGCCAATTTAGTTTATAATTTTTTTATATGTTAATTTTGAGTTTGAACTACAGTAGGTTGTTTTGACCATGTTGACGTGCTCAAATCTGTTTACCACAGTGAAGAACATTTAAATGTAACGTGATACATCTGAGCCCACCCTTTATAAACCTGCTGCTCTCCTCTGGCCAATCCAGCCTCAGTGGTGTCCTTCAGGATTGTGTGCATGCCTTTGTCTACTGTCACCTGGGCAATACCTGCTCCCATGAGACCTGCTCCCAAGATTGCGAGAGTCCTAGTGACAAACAAGACAGACACAGACATTTAAGCAATCAAATAAGAAAACATGAAAGTTGGACAAGTCTTTAAGTCAGAACCACCTAAATCAGTGGGAACAAAGGGCCAACTGTAACCAAACAAAGTGGTTTTAAAGTAATGATGTTAATCGCTGTAAATAATGGAGGACTCATTTTTGAAATATTCACTTACTTCACTTCTCTTTGAGGTGTTCCAAAGCGGTTCTTTTTACATGCTACTTGACCATGGTACAGACCAGTCAGTGCTGCTGATTCTGAGGTTTTTGCCAACTGACCAAAATTCTGCAAAAGCCAAAGACATGTATTTAAATAAGGCAGTACAGCAAACTGTTCCGATGACATACTGTGAACATATAAAAGCTCACCTGAGACTCAGCCAGGTATCCAGCTGCAGGGCCCTGTTCCACTCCAGTTTTTACACACTGAGGAGCAGAAACGATAAAAAAACCCCCCTCAATTTCATAAACAATCACATCAAGTTGAAAACAGTTTCGTTTTGTGTACTATGAATGAGCCTTAACTTACATCAATGATTTTCAGAGGTGCTGGATAGAGACCTTTACTCTGCTTCATCACTTTACCGTGGACAGTGTTGTAAATTTGATTCCGCACAAAGCCAAAGCCCATGACGTAGTCCTGAATTTCTAGGGAAAAAGTATATTTGCATTTTCATAGTTTGTATTTATGTTTAAATAATGTGTTAAAAGACTTTATGAAGGTCAAAGATCAACAACTGTTCCACGTCTTACTCTGCATCATGCCCTTCTCTTTACGAAGAATGATTTTCTTGTTGACGATTCCTCTGGCGCATTCGACCGCGACTTCCTCCAGGTAATCAATGGTTCTCTCCTCTGGACTCTTTAGACCAGGTCCTAGAATATGAACAGGATTATTAACTTTGAGGACAAACAACGGCTAATGTTTATTTTTATTAGTCAAATTTAAATTAATCCAATGGGTTAGGAATTACTTCAAAACATTTAGAAAACCGAGTTGCGAGTCATGTTGTATTATTACCTAGAGGGTCTACAAGATGGTCAACAAGCCCCATCTTCTTTGCTTTGTCTGCTCTGATATTTCTTCCTGTTAACATCATGTCAAAGGCACTGGGGAGACCGACCTGAAAGTGATAAAAATGTGTAAAAGACATCAATCAGATACTAGAATTTGTTCTATCTCACGATATAGACCGTACATCCAACATGGCCTTAACCTGCATAATAACCCTGCAACCTTCAACACAAAAAGCGACATTTTTTGTATCATATTTCCTCCTAATAAAATTCACCTACAGCCGCAAATACATTTCAATCAAGAAAATAGTGGTATCAAGAAAATAACAAAGAATGCTTATTTCTGCATGCAGGAAATTATTTCAATCGTTGTATCAAGAAAATAACACAGAATGCTTATTTCTGCATGCAGGAAATGATCAATTTCAAAATAATAGAATTCAATATTTAGTTTGATACACTTACGTGGTCACCTGCAGAGATACAAAATAAAAACATTTGATTAAAAAGCCTACTTTACAATTACAGTTTTTTCACTAACCATTTTGGGGAGTCTCTGAGTTCCACCAGCTCCAGGTAAGAGTCCCAGCATGACTTCAGGAGTTCCAAGGACTGTTTTCTTGCTCTTTGTAGCAACTCTGTAGTGGCAGGCGATGGCAAACTGAGAAACAAAAGGGAGACAAAAGAAATTGCTAACAATGGTCAAATATTCCCAGGGCATTAAATTGACATTAAAATAATGCTGAAATGACTCAATATTTTTGTCTTACCTCCAGACCTCCTCCTAAGCAAGAACCATTAATAGCGGCAACAATGGGCTTTGAAGATTTTTCAATCTGCTCAAACATCTTCTGGCCTTCCTGAGATAGTTTGGTGACCTCCTCCACACTGTTGCAGCCTTGGATCATACTGGAAAAGAATTACAAGGAATCACAATGATATGAATTAACACTAAATGTTTCGAATGTGACATTGCTAACTAAGAGAGCCTATTTACATTTAGCCTGTTGTGTTGTTTTCAGTCCGTTTATCTTTGTGTGGATGACATGTTTGCAGAATTCTATTCTCAAATAGCTGCTGCATGGTTTATGGTGAGTCTTAGATAGACGTATATATATAGATCCATATATCTGTTCAACTTGACATGTTTTAGTCAAGGTCTGCTGCTGGTTTCGTACTGTCTCCTACTTATTTTACTATAGGACACATTCATTATAATTTGATCACATGTCCTGCCCTGTAGCCAACAAACATAGTTCTGATTGGCTCTTGACCTTACTTGTTTCTCCAGGTTACACACAGAAATCAGGGCTAATTAGACTTTGTCCCGACCAGAATTTTTCATCTTCTTTTTTTGACTAATGGATCAATACATTTCCACATCATCATTTAGCCCAACAAAACTTCATATTTAGTTTTGTTTGTCAAGTCATTGACTAAG